ACTAGGTCCATCAGTCTCTTTAGTCTCCATATATATATTGTTTATTTCTTTTGCTGAATAGATTCATAAAGGGAATGGAAAGAATCAGATAAGGGAGTGTGTGTTAACTATGCTGTTTAACACTAATGTTTGATTTTTCAGACTTTCAGCATCCTGCATGAACTATGGCTTTGTTTTTGACTCTGGGAAAGGTATAATGACTCATCCTGCAGAATGCAGTCACGTGTGCTGCTATTGCTGCTTCCTTTTGCCCTATTTTATTCACTCTTTTGATCTAGTTATATAATTGTGAATGAAGGGGGAAAGCTGTGGGTATAAAATTGTACCGTGCATTACTTGATGTGCTGGAGAATTGTAACTTAACATAAATAGCAGAGCTGTAATCTGAGAAAATTTAAGAAACAAGATTTTGTTCTGCATACTGGAATTGCTCAGGGTAAATGAGTATAATAGTTACTCTGTGAACTTGTTTGTTGTGACATCTTTCCACATGTTTCCCTAAAGGCTTTGTCTGTACTAGAAAATGTATCAAGTTCAGTGTGACCCAGTTGGTGCTTCCAGCAAAAGGGAGAGGGGTCAGCCTTGGTTCAGCTGCACTGTTGCTTATGGGAAAATAAAATGATAGAGCAAATAACTGCTGTTTGTATTTTGTTCATTAAAAATGCTTCGCTATAATACAGAGGGTAGTTTAAGTCAGTGCATTGGGTCTGAGTCCAAAGCAATCAGATCTTTGGTTTATGAAAGAAGTTTTTGGCATACAATGACATTTCAACAGATACTGATCAACTTTGCCCTGTTTTCCTAGCCATATATGGGCTTGCAAAAACAAGTGGTCATTCAGTGGTCAAACAGGAACTGCTTCCACATAGTATACTCCCATGTTTTCTAGCAGTGTGTGGATGTATTTTAAGTGGGAATGTTTTAAGAAAAGAAAAGCTGGGGAGAAATGGTGTTGTTGGTCATTTAGGAGTCATCCATGGCATTTTAAGGACCCATGTCAACCACCCATGTGCTTCTTGTTTTTACATATTGGCAGGGTGGTATTGGACCCTGTGCTGTAGTGCTGCTGTTTGAGTAGGACCAGAAGGCACAGAATGAAATAGCATGGCTTTGCTAATCACGTGGCTGGGGCTGGTATCTGGTCCAGCACCAGCCACGCCCGGAGGGGAGGGGAGGGGAGGGGGTTACTTTAATTTACCAAGCTTCTATCTCCCTTGCGGGGCTTCCTGTTTTCTTGAGACCAGGTCTAGAGTGCTTATACCTGGCATGGGGTGACCGAGACAGACTGGGGATTCTGCTGGTGTACCATGCACCCTTCTGCCCATCAGACTCCCTGCCTGAGCTGACGGAGATCGTCTCGGACCTGGTGTTGAAGACCCCCAGGATGTTGGTCCTGGGGGACTTCAATCTCCATGCCAACACTGTTCTGACTGGGGCGGCTCAGGACTTCATGGCCTCCATGACGGCCATGGGGCTGTCTCAACATGTCATAGGCTCGACCCATGAACATGGACACACGCTGGACCTGGTTTTCTCGATGGGGCAGGAAGAGGGTGCTCTGAGGGTGAGCAATTTGTGTCTGACTCCCTTGTCATGGTCAGATCACTTCCTCCTGAGGTTTGAGCTCAATGCCGGCCTTTCCCTCTGTAAGGGTGCGGACCCTATTGTGTTGGTCTGCCCTCAGAGCCGGATGGATCCAGATGGATTCCTGAAGGCTCTGGGGGAGTTTCCTGTTGATAAATCTGGCGCTCCTGTTGATGCTCTGGTTAAACTGTGGAATGGGGAAATGGCCAGAGCTATTGACACAATTGCTCCTAAGCATCCTCTCCCATCCGGCAGAGCCCGTTCATCCCCATGGTATACGCCTGAATTACGGGCGATGAAGCAGGTTTGGAGACATGTAGAGCGTAGGTGGAGGAAATCACGAGATGAATCTGACCGAGCACGCTTACGAGCTCATTATTGAGCCTATGCTGTGGCGGTGAGGGGGGCGAAGAAGAAATTCTTCTCCACTTCCATTGCCCCCTCACAGTGCCGTCCAGCGGAGCTCTTTCGAGTGGTACATGGGCTGGTACATCCTGGCCCTAAGAAAGATCCCATACCACCATTGATGGCCCACTGTGACGACTTTGCCCAGCACTTTAAGGAGAAAATCAATCAGATTCGTCACGAGCTGGACTCCACTAGTGATTCAGATCCTTTAGGGGAGATGCCAATGACTCCGTCTGGTCAGATATTATTGGATGAACTTCAGTTATTGCAGCCTGATGATGTGGACAAAGTGCTTGGACAAGTACTTCCCACCACCTGTTTACTAGCCCCTTGCCCGTCATGGCTGCTGACCAAAGCCAAACACGGGATTGGTGCCTGGATCCTGGAGGTCATTAACGCCTCTCTGAGGGACAGCCTGTTCCTCTAAAGGAGGTGGTAATCAGGCCAGTCCTAAAGAAGGCGTCCCTGGATCCAGAGATGGCCGCCAGTTATAGACCAGTGGCCAACATCCCGTTTCTGGGCAAGGTGTTGGAACGGGTGGTGGCGGAACAACTCCAAGCACTCTTGGATGAGACTGACTATCTGGACCCATTTCAGTCCGGCTTCAGGCCCGGGTACGGTACTGAATCTGCCTTGGTCGCCCTGTATGATGATCTCTGCAGGGAGAGAGACAGGGGGCGTGCATCCCTGTTGGTCCTCCTGGACCTCTCAGTAGCTTTCGATACCATGGAGCATGGTATCCTTCTGGATAGGCTAGCGGGACTGGAAGTAGGAGGCACTGCTTGGCAGTGGTTCCACTCCTACCTCGACGGCTGATTCCAGAAGGTGGTGCTGGGGGACTTTGGCTCTGCGCCATGGCAGCTATGCCATGGAGTACCGCAGGGTTCCATTTTGTCCCCCTTGCTATTCAACATCTACATGAAACCGCTGGGAAAGGTCATCAAGAGGTTTGGGCTGCGGGATCATCAGTATGCTGATGATACCCAGCTCTACCCCTCTTTTTCAACCGATCCAGGCGAGAAAGTGGCTGTACTGAACCTGTGCCTGGCCATGGTAATGGGCTGGATGAGGGTCAGTAAACTGAAACTCAGTCCAGACAAGACGGAGGTCCTGTTGGTGGGTGGTTTGAGCTCCTGGGTAGGTGACTTGGACCTTGCCCTGGATGGGGTTGCACTCCCTCTAAAGGACAGGGTCCGCAGCTTGGGAGTGCTCCTCGACCCAGAGCTGTCCTTGGAAGCTCAAGTGACAGCAATGGCGAGGAGCGCTTTCCTTCAGCTTCGGTTAATCCATCAGCTGCGTCCCTACCTGGAGGATAATTGCCTAGCAACAGTGACACATGCATTGGTTACTTCCTGGTTGGATTCTGTAATGCGCTTTACGTGGGGCTGCCCTTGAAGACAGTCTGGATACTTCAGATGGTGCAAAATAGAGCAGCCAGGTTGCTGACAGGGACTGGGTGTTACTCTCATATAACCCCAGTCCTCTACCAGCTTCACTGGCTTCCCATCGAAGTCCAGGCTCAATTCAAGGTGCTGGTTATTACCTATAAAGCCCTTAACGGCTTGGGACCGGAATACCTAAAGGAACGCCTTCTTCCGTATTTGTCCTCCCACCCCCTGAGATCGACAGCAGAGGCCCTCCTCCAGGAACCCTCTGTGAAAGACATTACGAGGCAAAGTACCCGGAGGAGGGCTTTCTCTGTGGTGGCTCCCCGCCTATGGGATGCACTCCCCAGAGAGGTCTACCTGGTGCTGCCGTTACTTGTTTTTTGGTGCCAGGCTAAGACCTTTTTATTTCAACAATATTTTAGTAACTTTTAACATCAGCTATATAGGTTTTAATCTGCAGCCAGGGTGGATCTGGATTTTATTTGTATTATGTTTTATTTTTCTTATTTATGTAAGCTGTCCTGAGGCTATGCAAAAGGACGGCATACAAATACTCTAGATAGATAGATAGATAGATAGATAGATAGATAGATAGATAGATAGAGTAGTACCTAATGTTAGTTCTCTTTGCAATAGACCTACTGTAATGAAAGAGACTTAAGTTGCCGTAGCCTTGGCTACAACCCAATAACCTGAGATGTTTCCTATATGCTTTCCCTTATAGTCCTGTAAAACAACCCACTGAAAGAAAGTGAACGAGGAAAGAAATCCATATTTTAGTGACAACAGTGATGTGACTCTTTTTTTTTCTGATCCCTGGTGTCGCCAATGCATTTGCAGAAAATGCATCAAAGCTCAGTACAAGGAATATTTGTTGTAAATTCTCCTGTTTGTTGTCTCAAAGGGCAAGCTTGGCAAGCAAACCAAAATTATGTCATTTTGAAAGGTTGGGCATCTTACCAGAAGATTTGTAGCTATAAAATGTTTGAGATCTTTGAGAATATGATGTCCACAGTTGCCCTGGAGTCCACTAAAATACAAGATCCTTTGTATTTTCCTCTAAACACCTCTGCTGCCCTTTCATCTCCATGAATGGGCACATTTTTCCTTACCTTAATGCAAGTTAATAGAAACATATAGCTCATTTAACAGAGGTGAGAAAATGGGCCCCATGCTATCAATAGCTCAAGGAAGAAAACCCAGTCTCCTTTCAACAAGGCAGCAGGGGTCCTGGTAGTAGGTAAGCTTCCCTTCTCCTCCAACAGGAAATCAGTTTTCCCACTTCTGTTAAATGGGGCAATATCTGTCCATTAACATGAACACATGTGGACTTTGGGTGAGAGAATAAAAGAAATATGAATCCGGAGAAGTGGGAAATTTGGGGGTGTGTCCAACCCCCCCTCACACACACACAAACACAAAATTTGCAGTGATGCCCATGATACTGTTTCAGAATGTCAATATTTCTATTCTTGGAAATGCAAATTAGTTTGGAGTATGTGATCAACTGATGAAAAGGTCGTTGGTCTCTGGACTTTTGTTAAAAATTAGCATACCTATAAAACAAGAAAGAAAACAATAGTTAATGTGGTACAATTTATTCTAACTTTGTTATTTCAGACCAGTCCCATGAAGCAGTGTTCGGCAGTGATCTCATTCAACATGGTGAAGATGGGGAATGGCAGCGCTCTACTTCAACTACCTCATCTCAGAGTGAACAGGCAGAGAAACCGTTGCAGAATCAGCACAAGAGCTTGTCCTCTGAGGACACCAAAAAGAAGAGGGCTCAAAAGCCTTCTCACATGAGGAGGAACATAAGGTGAGCAACAATGAAAAAAACCCAAAGAAAACAATAGTAAGATTTGAGAGTGTATGTGATTTGAATAATTATTGCCTGGTTGCTACGCAGATTCTTACACTGACACGATATATTCCTGTTCTAGAGAAATTGGAACTTATGGGGGGAGTATTTTAACGCTCTGCTCATCCCATGTGTTGCATCATGGAGGACCTTGCTGATCATTTCCATATTATTGCAACTGGAAGACGTGTGTACATGCCCTGCACACCATGGGTCACTTTTTAGACCCCTGAGAACACTTGGAAATGTGAGAAACTGCTGTGAGCACCACCACAAAATGCCCAGTCAATTGATTGCCACTTTGACCTCAACCTGCTCAACCTGTCAGAGACTGTATGTCCAAGGCTGAGTTCCATTCAGTAAATACTTTTGTTTCAGTTGTCATTGTTTCAGGTATTCTTAATTTTGCTGGTTTATGACTGGCAGCTGCCACTGTGTTGGGGTCCTGAATTTAAAAGGTTAAGAACAGAGGTGTTTTTTCAACAGTTCCCAACAGTTCCTGGGGACTCCCTATCCGGACAGGCCTGCCGGCCATGCACATGTGTTTTCTATGACACTGTCCCTCATGCTCCTCAGCAAAATGCTCCTCAGCAAAATGTGGTCAGCGTGCCATTGCTGCTCCAAAAACTACCTTCCATCCCCCCGACATACCCAAATCCTGGTTATGTATGCCTACACTTCAGTTGTGAAGGATTAAATAGGCTGAGAGCGCCTTCACGGTAACAAGAAAGTTCAAATTTACTTTTTGCAAGGGAGTAGTAATGTCTCAATTGTAGCAGCTAAGTTTCCTTTCTCCTTTTTGCATAGCTGACTGGGAGTGGTTTCTGTTTTGTTTTGGAGGGTATAAAAAGAGTAAGTGCTCTTTTATGTTCAGTTCTTCCTATGTGCTTAGTTGGTGTTGAACGTATAAAGCTTTCTGAGTCAGTTATATAGACCATAAGAAGTTTTTCAAACTGCAAGAAAACTTTTATTAATTCCTGCTTTGAAAAGCCAAAAGAAGTTGTAGAGAGTCAGAATGCTGTGGTTGCTGAAAAGACAGTGAATCCTCATTACAACATCCCATTAAGAAGTTCGGTTGCAGCAGAGGGTGACTGTGTAGATCCAGAAGTCAGTACTTTGCACAATATGTATAAAAGTAGCAAAGGACAGTCAGATGGTATCAGTAATGTCTGGCCAGATATTTGGCCAGTGGAAATGTGGGAAAACAAGAAAAGCAATAATCCATGACTGAGGCATGAATCAGACAGACTTGATTGTTTTCTATGCTCCAAAGTCAAGCATTTAGGAACTCTCAAAACACAAGGTACTTTACTTTCAAGAGATCGGTGTACATACGTGTGGGTAATTAGTGCCTGAGTTTCCTGTTGCTTTCTCCTTGTATGTCATGTTTTTAGATAGTAAGCCTGTGGACAGGAACAGCCTTATTAATTTCACATAAGCCACTCTGGGAGGTTTTTGGCTGGAGAGTGGGGTATATGTAATTTTAAAAATTATTCATTCATAATAAAGAAGATAATAAAAAATAAGCTGTCATTATTTCACCTCAAAAAGAGATCCCTCATCTTGCATTCAGTACTCAACAGAAATTCAAACAAAGTGACAAAGCTGATTTGTATTGTGTAATCATAGACTGCACAATGGCATGGGTATGTGTGGCTTTGAGGCATGGCTCTGACTATCATAAAGGGATCCCCCCCCATACACACAAACTCTCTCCTAATTTTGCCACTATACCACTGGAACAGTCTTTCCTGTTTACTAATGTATGCACTCTTTTAAATAATTTACTTGCTGCATCAATGGATTTTTCACACCATTTTGACAGCTGAAAGACTGATACTACAACATTAGAAGGATAAATTCATATCTCCTACAATCCAGTGGATTTAGGACCCAGAAGTGCTTTCAGTATAGGAACAGGTAGTACATAGACTCCACCTTTGGTCTATTTTTACTTAAGCCTGTCTATAATTATTGGAAGTTGTATGTATTTTGAATAAATCCATGTACCTCTATTTAAAAAGCAAGGAAAAATAGTAATACATTTTGGGGAATATGTTGAGGACTTTTCCTACATACTGACTGACTTGCATGCCTACCTTACCATGAGTCACTGCTGTACAGGCAGATATTCCCCAGAAACTCATTCTTGTTTTCTTGATTTTCAGTTGCCAAATCTTGGTGACCTATTAACCCCTTTCAAAGAAGTTCCCACCTTGTAGCTCCCACTTCCCCTACAGTTACAAGAATGAATGGCCTTGGTTGGAAGATCATCTTGTGCATTTCTGAATCTTGTAATTTTCTCGAAAAAGCTGTGGAGAAGTGATAAAACTGAACTTTTAGAACTGTGCCAATACAGTTTTTTTGGGATAATTTATTTTCTTTTTATGCCTTCAGAAAGCTGCTGCGGGAGGACCAGTTGGAGGCTGTGACAAAAGCAGCTCAGCAGGAGGAGTTGGAAAGAAGGAAGCGGCTTGAACAGCAAAGGAAGGAATATCAAGTCAGCATTCCCACAGTTCCTCTCGAGTTTCTTCCTGGTAAGTGGCACACAGAGTATCAGACCAGAACTTGAACTGAAGATGGGGAAACCGATCATAAACCTAGTACTCTTTTCAGTCCTGTCAACATGCTAAACTTGCCCTATCATTCCTCTTAATAAAGATGATTTAATATATATTTGTTTATTACATTAATTTCCCACCTTGCTTCCAAGTATTTCAAGGCAGCATGTCTTGAAATATGAGGGTCATATCTTACCCTCATAACAATCCTATCACAGTGTGCTAGGCAAGTGCTTCAACAAATCTTACTCACGTTGAATAAGGCCATACTGTTAATAAAAAAAATGAACTCATTGTTGTCTTCTTTAAAGTTAAAAGGATTGGGGGTCTCTGTGGTGGTGACTCTTGATAGAAAGCAATTCATAGTTCAGGGTATACTGAGAAGAAAGAAAGGGCAGTAAAACACAAGCAATTTTTGGTTACCTGCTTGCGGTAGGGAAGCTGTGGCCCTCCCCTCAGGGAGTTGCTGGACTTGAGTGCCTACCAACACCAACCAGAACAGGAAAGGATGGTGGGTGTTGACCAACAGATCAGTCAGAAATTGGGAGTGATGGGCATTGTGACCCTCCAAATGGTGCTGGACTACAAGTTCCACTATAATACAGCAGAAGGAGAATGCTTTTATACAATTGCTTGTTCTTAAAAATAATCCATCAGACTTTCTGGGTTTGTAAAAGTTGCAGGCACTTGCACATTTAATTTGGAATAAACTACTAATGGAATGCACTGTGGTGTGAATCTATATGCAGTATACAACAGTGACTGCTCACAAGCAGCCAGCCCTGTCAACATTGTGCAAGCATTGCCCACTGATTGCACAATAGAAATTTAGTGCTTCTGGGGGCAAAAAAAATGAAGTGTGTGGGACAGATCAGCAGAGTTCAAGGAAGGAAGCTCCACTGACCATCTTCATTCCAAAAACAACTTGTCTTGGAAACACTAAATCTTGGTTGTGCAAGTAGTGCTTGCACAAGATGCTGTTTGCACAGCTGAATCAGCAGTTGATCCAGCTCAGAGGCAGACTGTATTAGATACTGCAGTGTGTGAATGTTCCAAGTATTGTCCTGCAATTTGTTGGAGAGTTTTGTTTTAATTGGCTTAAATTGCAAAGACATATCTTAAAAAAAGCAAGGTAGGTGGTAGCACTATAACTGCTTTTGGCACGTGCATGTTGCTCTCGTATTATTCCTTCCTTTTAAGAAATGGTTATAATGAAATAGGTCATCACTACACACACACAACTATTTTACCAAAATTAATAAGAGATAAAAGGTAAAACAGGAATTATTCGTGTGTAACATTCAGTTCGTTACTTATAGAATAAAGGTACAGTCCTACATTGATCTAAAAATAATTGATACATGTATTTTTGATTAGAATAATTAATTGAAATTCTGTTTCCATGGTTCATTTTTTCTGATTTAATGTGAAAAAACATGCTAGCTTTTGTTAGGAAAACCTTTAGCTTCTGTCCTTACACACAGTGTTTATATGTTCCGCCGTCAATTTATGGATTGACATAGATGTGAGATTTTCTAAGCCTATTTCCTATTTTTTTCCACCAAGTTTTTAGTAGCTGACATGTTTCCTACCAGCATTCGCTGGCATAATAGAAAACCATGTGCTGCCACTACACGAGTGAGCATCCTTGCTTGTGCGGTCACTCTTCCTCTTACTCCTGAGCTCTGCTCACTGAAAGTGCTTCCAACTGTTGATGAAAAACCTTCCCCCTCCGTTCCTTGTACTGCAGCCCATCCCATTCAGGGACATTTGGCTTTTTGAAGCAGCTTTAGATTGGGCTGCCAAGGTAAGAAGATAAAGTCACTTTCTGCCATTCCATTGGTGCTGCTCAGGTACTTAAAATTGCTTCATTGTGGAATATTGTTGGCCTTGACCTATAAATACAGCTTTGCAAGCCTTTTAAATAATTGTTGTCTTTAAGCAGTATTTTATTAAGATTATTGTTATATTGCTAGAGAAACTTGGATTTTAAAGCTTACCAATTATAGTTCCTGTTTTATTGCAGGAGAAACATTAGTTTAAATAATGCTAATTTAAAAAAAATTGAATATAAAAATCTGTCTGTGGTAGTGTAGGATTAGGATAGGGGTGTCTGAATTTGTCTTTTGTTACTGTTTTCTGGTCTGTTTAGTATTATTTATTAACGTTAATTCTTTAGAGGAGATTGCTTTACGAACTGCAGAGGTTGCTCAGCTTCCTCCTCAAGTGTTAGCTGAAGAAGTCATCTGCTTGGACAGCACCAGCAGCGGTAGCGAAGATGACTCTAAAGGAAGACTCCATAGCATTAAAGATGGTAAGAATGGATGATAATATCCTAATACTTCCCGATGATGGCCTGTAACATATTTGTATTTCAAAGACGGTTGGGACATTTTAATGATATAATTTTATAAAAATATAATTTAGAAAATAAAGATATATCTAGTGTGGATATGTGTGTTAGGTAACTATTGAAACTGTCCTTTATTTGAACCTTTGTCACCAAAGTATTTTTTATGATAACACCTTTTGTTTTGTTTTCATTAAAATATACATTTATTACGTCAAAGCTGATATTGTAGCTTTGGTGTAAAATCAGTGTTGAATGTGGGCCAATTTTCCATCTGTAAAAGCAAACCTGTCAAATTAGTGAAATTTAAAAAATAGTTTTTTCTTCAGTTCACATTGCTCTCACATCTGGAGGTTAGGAGAGTGTTAAAACACATTCTTAGCATTTTACATGCAGTGTGAAACTATTGCTCATGCCTTCCCTTTTTTCTTGTTCTTGTTTTCCCCTGCTCTCTAGTGCAAAATTGAGCAAGTAATGACACCCTGAAGATGAATGAATTGCAAGATATTACATACGCATATTTAGTAACTTGAATATTAAACTGAGTATGCCAGGTGTGATCATTTGCAAATATTTTTTTCTTTCAACATCTTTTATGTTGCTCCGTTCTCTACTAAAGAGAGAAGAGAAAATGAAGACACATAATGCAACTTTTACATTTGTTGAGAAAAAGTGTGATGGATATGCTAATCTTCCACATATGGTTGTCTTACAGAAGTGATAGAATTAAGTTCAGGAGAAGATGAAGCTCTCCAGATTGTAGACAGCAGTGATTCTGGCAATGAAGGGGATGAAGATAATACTGAAGAAAGCAGTGGTGCTCATGTGAATGATGCTCTAAATCAGTTAGATGCTTCAGGGCAAGTAATTATCAATATCAACCATCCGCCAAATGAAGAGGACATTTACCTGGCTCCTCAACTTGCACAGGCAGTGAAGCCCCACCAGGTACTGGAGATTTTGGGTCTGGACATGCAAGCACTTCAGCAACTTTCCTAACAGACGCTATGCTAGATGGATTCATAAATCTTCATGCTTTTGCCTTTATGATGTTAAATGTATGTAAGTGACTAGGCATATATCTAGAATGGTAATTTGTTGGCTCCCATTTATAACCTCTTTGGCAATGTTTGTAACTCTTTCTAGATTGGCGGTATCCGATTTCTGTATGATAATCTAGTGGAGTCCCTGGACAGATTTAAAACAAGCAGTGGGTTTGGCTGTATCTTAGCTCATAGCATGGGGCTGGGCAAGACTCTCCAGGTCATCTCTTTTTTGGATGTACTTTTCCGGCACATCGAGGCAAAGACTGTCTTGGCCATTGTACCTGTAAGTAGTCTTGGCAAATGTGTATGTTGGGTCTTCTCATGTGGCTTCAGAGATAGTAGAGAAAGGACCTTTAGGATTCTGAGCAAGCTCCACTTTCACACATTTACTTCTTCCCACCTTCGGGCTTGTTTAGAATAGGGGTAGGCGTGTGGTGCTTTTGCGCACCAGTGCACCCTCACACACCTTTCTTGGGGCCCTGCTCCTCCCATTTACACACACCCTAGCATGTTTTCATACCAGCAACTGTGAAAGGGCTTTTCCTTGGAAGTTGAAAACTACAGGTTCAGGGGAGTTGTTTAGTGTGTTCAGGCTCCAACCCCACCTCTCTCTTTTACTTAAATCTTTTGATCAGCTAAGTTGTCCTTTGTCATACCTCCTGTGGCAACTATTTTGTTCTGGTGGATACCTTCTCAGATTTACCACAGGCCCACAGAGATTGTGTGCTCCTGTCACAGCAGGCACTAGGTTCAGATGCATGAGAGACCTTACACTCTTCCTTGGTGATCCCCTGGTTTACTTGAGACCTGGGTAGAACTTCTGTCAGTTTCTGAGATGGGTGAGGTGTGAAATACAGAACTTGATGGATCCTACTGCTGTTTCCCTCTCTTTTTCCTAAAGGTAAACACCCTTCAGAACTGGCTTGCAGAGTTTAATATGTGGCTTCCACCACCAGAAGCCCTTCCTGCTGACTATGACCCAAAAAAGATTCAGCCTCGCACCTTTAAAGTCCATATATTGAATGATGAACACAAGTAAGTACAAGGAATGCCCTTACTGAGGTGGTGTGTATATCAGCTGCAGTTCTCACTTCTGTTGCCGGCCTTGTGGCACTGGAAGGGTTCTCGGGACAGCTTGCATCAGGACTGAATTAACCATTCTGGCTCCAAGGGCTGCAAGCAGTGCTGAATCAGGAGTCACATATGTATGCATGCACATGCAACATAGTGGGCTTGTGGGCAGTGCAACCCATGGGCCATAGGTTGCCCATATGTGGTAGTTTAAATAAACCTGTGTATTCAAACCATTTGTTTAAAATTAATTTAACAATAAATTTATCTGGTAAAATCAGCAAGATATAAATAGAACCACCATGTTTGTCTGTTAGTCTAATGTCTGAAATTACTGTTTTCACTTAGCTTCCAAAAACTAAAAGTGTGAGCCAAATCAGACTCCTTAGAGCTTTCTCAGATGAACTAAACTTATAAGGAGTAGAACTGTGTCAAAGCTCTGTGGAATACATCCCTGTAATGTTCACAGACGTCCTTTCATGCTGGGGCCTGTTACATATTGGCCCCAAAGCCCTGTCTTGCAAAGTGAGACAAGCTGAGAAGAAGTCCGCGAATGCTCATGGAACAGAGGTGGCACAACTGACGACCTTCTTCTGCATCATGTGCAATAGCACAAACGGCTGCTGTTGCTTGTGGCAGAGAATGGGGATGCTCCTCGCAGAGCATTTGCATGGGGCTGCTTTCCTGATGAGCACTGCTTGGACAATGTTCTTCCCCATCACTTGCAGCAGCACAAAGAAAAGCTGCTGCACCTGGTGCGGAAGAGTGATGCTGCCTGCACAGCAGTCTCATGGGGCTCGATTCCTGCTAAGCACCACATGGATGCTGAGTGTGCTTGCCTTGGACTCATAGCCAAGTCAAGTGGACCAGAGTCTGAGAAATGGAACCCAGGAAATCTGGTGGAGTCGCACCCCCAAAACAGATTCCTCACGCATCCTTTATAGGGAGACCTATACAGAAGAAAATAATCTCACAGATATCCTCTAGTAGCTCCTTATTTCATCCAGAAACCAACTGGAAAGCAAGTATTTCATTTGAGTGGAAGTGCTATATTGCTATCAAGACTAGATCTGCCTAACAGCTGAACTCCCTCATGTGTTGTATTTTGGACCAGCTGACTTTTTAAATGTCCTTTGAGGGCAGCTATACAAAGTTGCCTGAATAATGCAATTCACTGATAAGCTGGGCTTCAGTCATTCTATAACTTCATCAGTTCTATCTTTTTAATAATTAAAAAAAATCAGCAGTTGTTTCAGTGTTAATCATTCTTGTCAGGGGAATCAAACGTAATTTGCACTCAGATGTTTACTTGTGAGTAAATTGCATTGATTCATTGACTGTTAAAACTCTCCTGCTTAAACCTAATTTGAGCAGTATATCAATAAACCTAAAATTCCATTTTTGTATGTAGACTCATAGTTTCTAAGGAAATTAAATATTCTGCCACTTCCATGGGTAGCCATTGGCCAGGATCCTCTGTGATGGTTGGGAGCCATTTTTTGTCATGTAACTAGGAATTCAGCATCCCCCATGTAAAGATTCTATCTTCCTGCTTATTCACAACAGATCTTGTTTATACCTGCCTTATTCTGATACTAACAGACTATTTCTGACAAGGGGTCTCAAAGTGGAAAGCAGGCAGGTGTCTGCAAATGGTTGAATCAGTAATTTCTTCATCCTTCTAAAGCTGCTTTGAATGGCATAGGAGCCAACATACCAAGCCACAGCCACTCACAGAGGTAGTGCAGCAGAAGTGAAGTGTCCCATCTTTCGATTGTGTGTCATTGCTAGGGAAAGATGGATCAGCATTTAAATTTTTTGGAAAGGTTTTGTTGTTTGTTGCATGCTCAGCGGCCCTTCCCAAAGCACTGTATAACTTTGGGTCTCAGCTTCTTTATACTCAATTTGACTTGGCCTTGCCAAGATAGTTTGCAGTGAAGAACACTGCTGTGTGGGCTTTCTCACTGCTAGTTAACTATAATTCAGGATGCTTGACTGTTGTTGAAGACTCACTGTGACAGCATCTGGGTGCTTCTTTACATTGCTGTAGCAGACATTGGTTTTTACCTACTTCAGAAACACTTGCCCCCTCATGATTTTTTTTTCTTTTTGTTTTGGTTCTTTATAGGACCACAGCAGCACGTGCCAAAGTGGTAACTGACTGGGTGACAGATGGTGGTGTGTTGCTGATGGGCTATGAGATGTACCGTCTTCTTTCACTGAAGAAATCCTTTGCCACAGGCAGAAAGAAGAAAAGCAAAAAACAGACTGGTCCTGTCATTATTGATTTGGATGAAGAGGATCGTCAGCAGGAGCTCTTGAAAGGTGATATGCCCATGGTCTTCTTCTAAAAAGAGTTCCATTTAAGTGGCATAACATTTAAACAGTTGTTTTTGCTAATATTTCAACATGGGCTGGGGTTCATTCTGGAAGTCCTCTCAGTAGTGTGTCTCAGCTCATGCCAAAAAGGTAGGTCTTAGGTAAGGCAAAATCTCCATTGACTAAGTAAAAAATGTTTAGAAACAAGCAGTCCTATTATACTTAGGATTGAATAGCCATTTTGCTAAGAGTTTATTTTATGGAATACAGTTCTTTCTGACTGGCATTTTTAATTACTGTTCTGATTTCCATAGTGTGCTCCACTTATTTAAGAAGAATGTTTTGTTGAAAAGATTCTATATTATTTTGCCTATGTGTATTGGTTTTGCTTGCCATTGTGTTCTATGAATTATCAAAACTAGGGATTTTAAATGAGATTCATGGTAACCCTCTCCTGAGCCACTGAAAGAAAGTCAGTGTCATTCTGTCACCAGTATCCCCTGTCAGGTGGAAATAGTTATCTGTGAAATCCATTCACAATTTCTTACTGGTTCTTTTCAGTTATTATTTCTTTTAAATGCAGAACAATGAGCAACAGCTGTTTTTCTTCCTCTCTCAGGAATTGAGAAGGCGTTATCCCGCCCTGGGCCAGATGTGGTCATCTGTGATGAGGGTCACCGGATAAAGAATTGCCATGCTAGCACCTCTCAGGCCTTGAAAAACATTCGATCCCGGCGGCGGGTGGTACTGACTGGCTATCCTCTGCAAAACAACCTAATTGAGTACTGGTGTATGGTGGACTTTGTCCGTCCTGATTTCCTTGGTACACGGCAGGAGTTCAGTAATATGTTTGAGCGCCCCATCCTTAATGGACAGTGTATTGACAGCACTCCTCAGGATGTTCGTCTCATGCGGTATCGCAGTCATGTCCTGCATAGCCTGCTGGAGGGCTTTGTGCAAAGGTGAGGCCACATCTGACTCCCAGCATCTTAGTGTCATGGCTTGAGTTGTTTGTCTTTGGATAGCAAGGGCTTCGCTGATCAAGTCAGTGACTTGGACTTCTGGGTCAGAAAACTCTGAGATGTCCCATAACTAGCTAAATAGCAATGCCAGTTGGAAGAGATGAGCCAGCTCCAGGATTACAATGCAAATTATTATAAAAGTTAACAAGTTTTTCAATTTTTGCTGTTCCGCTGAAGCTCTGCTTAGAAGTCTGAAAGGCATATTTGGAGGCAGTGAGGGTGGCAAAGAAGCAGTACCTGATTGCCCCCATTCAGTCTTTGATTTGCTGCCCAGCAGAGCACTCTAGAGTTGTCTGGGGCCTATTACATTCTGGCCCGAAGGACATCTTGGAGCCATCTGAGGCCTGCTGTAATATATTCTTTAGGCACTTCTAGGACAAGATCTCATGTATCCAGCAGAACTTGGACTCCAATTTTATAGCAGTGGAATCAGGTGAGGTATCCAGAGCATGGTCTGGTCTAGTTGTTTTGGATGGGTTCCAGTTGGTATAGCTTGAGGATGTTGACAAGTTGCTTGGATAGGTTCGTGAGACCTCATCTATGCTGGATCCTTGCCCCTCTTGGCTAGTAAAAGCCAACAAGGAGGGAACTGCCAGCTGGGTCAGGGAGGTGATTAAGTTTTGTCCCCCATGTTATTTAACACATACATGAAACTACTAAGTGAAGTCATCCAAAATTTTGGAGTGCGTTGTCATCAATAAGATGCTGACATCCAGCTCTGCATCTTCTTTTCATCTTCAGCAGGTGAGGCTGTGGATGTGCTGAACATCTGGCCATGACAATAGACTGGATGAGCGCTAACAGACTGAAGCTCAGTCCAGAAAAGACTGAGATGCTATTAGTGGGTGGTTCTTCTATTTTAAATTTGGTTTTAAATTTTGTATTGAAATGTTTAAAATGTTTTAATATGCTTCGATATGATGTATTTTGTATTGATTTTTAATGTGCTGTTACAAACTGTTCAGAGAGCTTCAGCTGTTGGGCACATAGAAATTAAATAAATAAGGACTCTTGTCAAAACTATTCAAATCATCTCTGTTGCCATAATAGTACATTTTTACAGCATTTTCCATCTGGGATGGTATTTTACAAAGTATTTTACATTACTTAATAATGCAAGAATTGCAGATATATTTTGAATTGTATAAATACTGGGTTATATGGAAATTTAATTTAAGACTCATTCATTTCAATGGGTCCACACTAAATAGGACTGACACTGGATGCAACCCATCCCATCACAGGCTGGAAAAATGAGAAAAAATATCCTGGGTTGTATCTAGTGTCAGTCCTGAGTAAAGTATACCCACTGAAGTAAATGTGCCTTGTTAAACTAACAATACATGTAGTGACAAGTGAAGACCCGGAGTTTTGTAAGCAACACTTGTCCATTTACATGAGAACATTTTTCATGCTTGTCAGTAATACTATCACGCTTGTTAATGACCACACCAAAATAAGGTGAACTGTGCTTCCCCCAGCAGGATGAGCAGGTGATATCTTGGCCTGAGACCTCTGCAATGATTCTGAGCCCTCTCATTCCCTTCTTTTTCTTGGTCATAGGCGAGGACATAATGTGCTGAAAGCCCAGCTTCCGTATAAGGAAGAGCATGTCATCTTGGTGCGTTTGTCAAAGATCCAGCGGGCCCTCTACACTGAGTTCATGAACCGGTTTCGTGATGCAGGGAACAGTGGCTGGCTGGGGCTGAATCCACTCAAGGCTTTCTGTGTCTGTTGTAAGGTAGGTATGAATAGGAGTTGGAGTGGTACGCTGGGCCAGTTGTGTGGAAAGGTCAGGAACTCCTCTCAGAGGGATTGATGTCATAACTTTGATGCCATTTTGTTTCCCTTGAGTAATATGTAGGGATTTTTTTAACAATATTGAAGTACTACTCAGGGATCTACATTACAGTGTTCTGACTACTTGGCCGCAGAATTATTAGTGACATGAAAAGATGTTAGTAACAAGGAAATAATTTCTGTAAATTAAAAAAATGAATTCTAGAAATTAATTTATCCTAACTTGTCTTTTGCTTTGTGTCTTCCTTGGTTTCCTCCCACCGTTGCAAGCCCTTTGGCAACAGTAGATTCATCTATAAAATTTTGGTGACATTTCTTTGTTTTTTTATGGCAATTTAAAAACCAGCAAATTAAAGATGCACTCCTATGTGATTTCTCTTAACTTTCCAAACTCAGAAGCTTAGGCACATCGAATCAAGCATAGCAAGCATACAGAGACAGCAAAGATCACCTCTGCTCTCCCCTCACCCTCAAAAGCATTTAGATGGCAAACTTCAGCTGTCTAAATGTGCTCTACCTCCTTGCAAAGAGGAGGGGCTGTGGTACTGACCGAATTTGGTAGACCTGTTAGTGTCTCTCCCCTCCCCATCCTGCTCCCTGGAATGCCCCAGGTGTTTGTCCTAGACATGGTCCTCCATCTTCAGGGCCTCAGCTGGAGCAGGAAGAGCCACACCAGCAGAGAGGGTGGGTGTCTTGTGATGGTGGAGTTTCTGCTGCAACCTTAGAAGGCTTTTCTGAGCCACACCAACAGGGACATCACCTTTTCCTACAGTCAGCCAGACAGTATCGTTTTGCTATGGGATTGCACCCTTATTGTGGCTTCAGCTTTTGTGAATTAGACTCCAAAGGACCTTTCATAAGACTCAAGAAACTAATAACATGTATTTCTGAATCATCAGTTGCAAAGAAACCCACTTTCCTTTTCAGATTTGGAATCACCCTGACGTCCTTTATGAAGCACTGCAGAAAGAGAATTTGGCAAATGAACAAGACCTGGATGTGGATGACCTTGGCACAGGTGGCACCAATTCACGCTGTCAGTCACAGGGAATGAAAGTGAAAACGGAGAGCAATGCTTTGGCATCACCAGTTGGGGAGGCTACAAACAGCAAATACATTCAGGGCATTGGCTTCAATCCCTTTCAGGAAAGAGCCAATCAGGTTGTAACCTATGAGTGGGTGAGTATCGACGTGAAATCTCCAGGTGTGGTGGATTCCCCCTTCTCTTTCCTCAGGCATAAATAAAAGGAGATGCTTTACTTTGGAGCAACCCTTTACAGGGTACTTGTGCAACATGGATCTGTTACTTTTGCCTAGAGTTCCCTCCCTTTACCAGATGCTTTGGGTTGTATCCAGTGTTAGTCCTGCATGGAATAGACTTAGTGCAAATGATGGACTTACCGTATTTTTCCTACTATAAGATGCCCCCATGTATAGGACGCCCCCCACTTTTACTGATCTCCGAGTGAGCAAGCTGCTGCTGCATGCATGCGCCCACTGCCTCCCCACATGCCCGCACCCTCACAGTCTCCCCCCGATAGCGCCCGCCTCCCCCCGAGTGCACCCGCGATCATGCCAGTCTCTCCCCCCCCAGCACACCTCCAGTTCTCTCAGCCCCCCATGTATAAGGTGCCCCTCCATTTTTAGGTACATATTTTTAAGAAAAAGTATACATGGAAAAATGCGGTAATTAAGTTAGACCAACACTGAATATAGAAACCTCAGTCCGTGTACATGCACTGAAAATAAGCTTAATGCATGAGATCTTACTGGGCAATGTACATGCATCTTCCCACCTAGAGTACTTCCACATAAACAAAATGTTATATATGAAAGAGTTCTACCTAGTTTGTGGCATTATTTTTACCTTTGGACACTTTCTCATTTGTTATGAAGTGCCTCTTGTGCTGGTACCCTGCTTATTTGTTGCAGCTTCAATAGGGATTACAGTGTTTTGTGCTCTTTGCTCTGGGCAGTATCCGGTACCAATAGCATTAGCTGGCTTGTCAGTTTCCCTGGCAAATGGGCACACCAGTTTATGCTGTAATTGCACTATAGTAGTTTACTTTAGCACAACATAATTTATGTTACAATGGCACCCCAATGGATACTGCACTCTCTAGGAAACGCTTATCATTTTTATACTGCCTGGAAACTCCTACATCTGTGCTTTCTGCAGAGTGCAGCAGACTTACAAGTGATTGCATGAAACATGATCTGAATGAGATGAGGATACAGGAAACGAGCAAAGAGCAAAACCTCGGGGTATTGCAAGAATTTCCAGATATTTGGGTTGGTTTACAAAGCTCTTCAAGGGAAATCATTATAGTTGAGGGACTTGTTCTTAATCATCCCCAGGCATGAAAAGATGGATAATAAAGTGAGGAGTTCATGAAAGTTTTGGGATGTTTGATGTCTGTTTTTGAAAGGCTTTGACATTATTTTCTGTTTCTTAGTGAATGGTGTATTTTCACATAACTGAACCAGTTTTAGTAATTTTCATCCATTCAGACCATTTCCCTGTTTCTGATCATGTTTTTGAGAGGAGCACAGGAGAAGCAGCTAGAGAATTATTGAGTAAGAAATGAGTGGATTGGACACACCAGGAAGTACTTTCCTTGTGGTCTTGAGTGTCCTGTTTTACCCACAGGCTAAAGACATCCTTTGTGATTACCAGACAGGCGTCTTGCAAAATTCACCTAAGATGGTGTTGCTTTTTCATCTGGTGGAGGAAAGCGTGAAACTAGGAGACAAAATATTGGTCTTCAGGTAAAAGGCATTTATGCTTCAAATATGTAATTAAACAATGTAAACAAATAAATGGTGTTGACTCGAATAAAATTATTCATAAAGATACACCTTCAAGAAAAGAGGTTGTGTTATATTTCCATTGCTGAATTTCTTTGCCTTATGTTCCCATATTTTATGTTATCTCATGAGGCCCTGCTGAAAATGCCCTTGATATCTGAAGAACAGGGGCCCTTCCCGTTGTCACATCATATCTGTAGAACTCTTTGTCTAGGAAGACCTGCCTGAACATGCCCTTTCATAAAATCATGAAGGTTCTCTTCCAGGAAGCGCCTGGCCTTCTGGAGTCAATTTTTAGGGTATTCCAGATACATTTTTGTTGTTCTGCCAGATGATGATATTTTTGATTTTATGTAAGCCACTTCCAAGTGGTTTGGTCAGTAATGGGTAAGAAGGAAATGTGTAACTTAAATCTACCTTTCTGTAGTGTAAATCCAATTTTGGTGTCTTACTCCTCAGTTGATAGCATGGAAGTTGTTTCCCTCTGTATTGTTCTCATTCTTTTAAATATATGATGGTGGCAGTATTTTTAATCTTGAACCCCATTTGAGTTTGAAATAATTGCATAATAACTCAGGAGCTCCTCTGAGTCTTGTTAGTCATGATAAATGAAAAGAAATGGAATATAGTGTGTAGCAAGACATCAGTCTAACTTGTGCAGTATGAGCAAGGTTTAGGTTTCATTTTTGTTCAAATGACACTGTGGGGTTTGATCTTTCTTTTGACAATCTGAGCAGAGTTCTTGCCTTTTGCAGCCAAAGCCTCTCCACATTGTCTGTCATTGAGGATTTTTTGGCAAAGAGACCAGTGCCTTCTCCCCCAGGCGTGGATGCACAAGGAATCCATAACTGGGTTCGAAATGTCAATTATTATCGTAAGTGCTGCATGACTCGTCATTATTTAGGATACTGATTCTTTGTCTTCTTGAAATGTAACAGTTTGTTCAGTTTCTCTGCAAACATTTATTTGGTTTTCCTTAGTAGTATGTGTGGTTCTTCTTTCCTTCATTTCCAAACTGATAGCTTTTAGGCATATCTTTGTGATGTTTAGATACTTTTTTGTCCTGCATGAATGACAGTTGACTGTTACTAAACAAGGAAAGCCTTAATATTACATGGAATTGTTTTATTTTGATGAGCATTTTGGAAAAGGCTTTCTAACTGTTCACATGCATTTCCCATTGGGTAGGCCTGGATGGTAGCACTTCAGCCTCAGAAAGAGAACGGCTAATTAACCAGTTCAATGATCCCAGCAACACTTCTGTTTGTCTCTTCCTCCTTTCCACACGGTAAGTTGAACATCTGCTAAAAAAGAAAATTGGGATGGAATAGGGCATGTGATTGGCTGTGATAAATACTTGTTTCTGAGAATGATTGGCATCCAGTTCATTTGAAAGGACTACTTCAACAGCCTTTAAAGAGTTGGGATGGTGTGAACTAACCATTTCATGCTGATTATCTTTAAAAGATGCTGCTTGTATGAGATTATGTTTGCCTAGAGTTGAGTTAAAACAGCAGCCAGCAAACAATGTATGATTCAAAGGTGTAGTGAAAATACAAAGATTAAGTAGGCATTTGTGTGTGAGAGTGTACATATATCTATTTGCAATGTCTTCTTAGGGCTGGGTGTTTGGGTGTGAACCTTATTGGTGCAAACAGAGTGGTAGTGTTCGATGCTTCTTGGAACCCTTGCCACGATGCACAGGCAGTATGTCGGGTATATCGCTATGGACAGAATAAGCCTTGCCACATCTATCGACTAGTTTCTGATTTCACCTTGGAGAAGAAAATCTATGACCGCCAGATCTCCAAGCAAGGGATGTCAGGTAGGACAAATCTTTCCAGGCCTCCACCTGGTCATCCCTGTGTTTTTATCTCCAAAATTTCTGCTTTGACTTTCACCTTCTGGTTCCCTCCCACCCCCTCTTTTCTAGGCATTATGCACAAGTGGAATCATGTGCAAATATCATAATTCAAAATATGTTGTTTGAGGCTCAGATGTTGCAAGAACAATAGTTTTTGTTGTTTTCTGGCCAATGTGCTTTTTCTATAGATCGTGTTGTAGATGACTTGAATCCAGTGTTGAACTTTACCCGGAGAGAGGTGGAGAACTTGTTGCACTTTGTGGAAGAGGAGCCTGAACCTGCCCAGCTTTCATTCAACCCTGGGAAGATAAAGGAATCTGTGTTGCAGCTGGCCTGTCTCAAGTATCCTCACCTCATCACCAAGGTTAGGAAGGAGGAGGGAAACAAACTACATTCATGTTGTTTTACAAGCAGGCAGTAAAGTGTGTATAAAGTACGCATAAGCATCCTTTGAAGTGTGCGTAAAGTGAACATGACATGTGCTTAAGCTGTGCATGAACATAAAGTAGGTGTTGAGTAAGCGATGCTTGCAGCATACAGTATTAATATTGCTCCAAACTGTAGTAAGTCTAAGGTATGGGATAATTTGTCTTTCCAGGTTTATTTACTTAATTTATTATTTAGTTTTATATGCCACTTTACATGAAAGTAGTGAACATAAAATACAGTGGCATAAAAACCATACATATGACAATGGAACTAACACAGAACGATAAAACATCATTTTCTATCGTGTGCTACAAACTATAGCTGGCTCGATTACACTTCAACGAAAGCCTCTGAAAGAGATGAACAAATATCAGGAAATGTCTGAATGTCCTGACTGTGGGGGCCCATCTAACATCAGTTGGTAAAGTCTTCTAGAGGGTGGATACAGCAGCACTACATGCTGCACTGCAGGTGCTCCCGGATTGAACCTCTGGTGTATGTGACGCCCTCAGAAGTATTTCCTTTGATGTAGGCAGAGATTGAGCAGGGGCATGAGGCGTGAGGTGGTCCCTAGGGTCACCAGGTCCCAACTTCTTAGGACGCTATTTGTTAATGACAACACCTACCTGGTAGGTTATTGGCAGCCAGTGCGGTTCCTTTAGCAAAGGTGTAGTTTCCTATTGGAAGGAGGCCCTGCTCAGCAGCCTCTGTACCAGTTGCAGCTTCCAGACCAAGCCAAAAGGCGGCTCCATGCAGTGTCCCTGATAGTCCATGCTTATTGCCATATTAAGTAATTCTGCCTCTGGTTGGCAGAGGGTGCCGATTATTTAGGCAGTCTGAAGGAATGAGGGCCCTATGCATGCTGTGCCAAAATCCAAGACAGTAAGTTCTGTTTTTCACCATATAAGCATGTTGCCAAATGTGGTGCAATGGCAAGCTCTTCCCATGCATTCTGCATTGCACGTCTTCTAAGGGTTATATGGAAAGAGTATGTGCCCAAGTTAATAGATGTTGGAATGTTCCCTGAGGATTGTTGTCAGCAGCAGTTGTGTGGATGTGCTGCTGAGGCAAGCCATTTCATCAGGCGTGTGGACACTCTCCTTCAGAGTTCTTTGCATGCTTGCCTGCTCGCTCGCTTCTCACCCAAGGGAAAAGACAGCATATAAATGCAATGTGGTTGCACTATTTGAGTTTGCAGAATGACACTGCCCAAGATACTGTCTTCCCGATTTTTGCACTAGGGAGGAATAACTGCACAGAAGAGAGAATTTGGGCAGATGTTGTTTTTCATGCAGTGGGGGAGAAAAAGTCATTTAAGGTACAAAAGAACCATTCCCCTTTCCATCAGTTCATTCTCTTTCTGTCTTTCATTTTAAATATGATCATGAGAGTGACTACTTCAGGAGGTTCAAGCCGCATTGTGCTTCTTCTCCTGTCTGGAGCTTTAGCTTAAAAATATGCTGCTGCACAAATCAGCATACACATCTCCAGGGCCTCTGAGAGAAAGCACTGTGTTCTCCCAACGGGAGGATGAAATGCTGGATGTGCAAAATGATAACTAAGGCCTCTCCAGTGTTTCTGGTGAGTGTAAATGGATTGTTACTAGTTTCCTATAAGGCAGGGAAGATACTGTTGCTGTGTTGTTTCACCTCCTGCCACCTTCATGGGCACATTTGGTAAAAGTCTCATAAAATAATGCTGCCTTGTGTTCTGGTTGCAGGAGCCTTTCCAGCATGAGTCACTGCTGATTGACCGTAAGGAACACAAACTCACCAAGGCAGAGAAGAAAGCAGCCAAGAAGAGCTATGAGGAAGAGAAACGTGCATCCGTCCCTTACACCCGTCCATCTTATGCTCAGTATTACCCTGCCACTGACCAGAATCTAACAAACATACCAGCCTTCAGTCAGAGGAACTGGTGTGTATCTTATTTCTTTCTGTGATGCTGAAGAGGAGTACCAAATTTTGATCAAACATGTTCTTCCCCGTTGATGATGCTATTCTGATTTCTGGAGAACAGGACAGACAAAGACAAAGAAGAACATTTGTGCTTCCTAGTAGCTCTGAATGGTTGAGAAAAAACAGGGAAAATCCAAGTTAAGCAAATGGACTTTGTGTGCTGTATGGAATGCTGTTGTGATGTATGAACCAGTCATACAGTAATGCATCCTTCTCGCCTGATATTTCTAGTATCATTTTAATTATTATATTTTTTTTCTTTATTATGTACTATAGTACAGATCCTTATGAAGTTGTCTATTAAGTTCCACAGACATGGTGGAATTAAATCTGTGACTAATACCTCAGCATATGTCATAAACCCTCAGATAACTTCATAATCTGGAGTTGCTTGCACAATGCTGGAGCCAGGATATGACATATTCATGCATAGGCTGGATGGCCATCTGGGAAGATTGCTGTAGTTGTCCTGTGCATTTTTAATCTTGCATGGAACAGGGGATTGGACTAGGTAACCTCCAAGTTCCTTCTTGGCTCTAAAATTATGTGCTATGATTCTGTGGTTTAGGAGCGGGGTGGGTGACAGAGTGGATGGGCCGGCTTTGTGGTAAGAGGCTGTTTGGGTCTCTTCTGTCGTTCTGTAGCCCTACTCCATGTGGTTTCTTTCCACAGGCGACCAAGCCTCAAAGGTGAGGACAGGCCAGTGGCAAGTGTACGTCCTGTTCAGTCCACCCCCATTCCTATGATGCCTCGCCATGTCCCCTTGGGCAGTATGGGATCAGCTTCTGTTTCCAATCCTGCTATCAACTTTCCCATCAATTACCTGCAGCGAGCTGGTGTTCTCGTGCAGAAGATCGTCACCACGACAGGTCAGTTGCTTTGTGTGGGGCGAGAAGAGACAGGAACTTCCTTTGAGAAGAAGTGTACCCAGAGGGATTAGTGAAACTGAAATTTTACCCCAGCCATTTGGGACTGATCCTCCCTTCAGATTTTCATCCAGGTTCCTTCTAATTATTTTACCCTTTTGGGTGGTATCCAGCCTGTCGTTCTGTTAGCACAAATGCTATGCACAAAAGAAAGATCCCACTAAAGTTTTGTTGCTTAAGTACAGTTGTGCATTGTGTTTGTGCAGCCTGTGATGCAACTTGTCTTGCATTCCATCTGCAAAACTGGTCGTGCAAGAGTGATGGAGAACAGCTTACTCATGGAAAAGATTTAGTACAGTTCTGCTATCACTATTTGAGTTTGCAGAATGACAGTATCAGATATTGCCCAGGATACTGTCTTCACAATTGTTTGCACTAGGCAGGAATAGCTACACAGAAGAGAGAATTTTGGAAGATATTTGTCATGCAGTGGGGAGTAAAGCCGTTTAAGGTACAAGGGAGCCCCTTTCCATCAGCTCATTCTCTGTCTGTCTTTCACTATAAATACAAACATCCTTGGAAAAAGGAGAATATGAAATGGTGGCAATGCCATTGCTGTGACTCACCTTCAGTCAGGGAATGATCCACTCATGGATCTTGACACACCAGTTGAAGATCAGGAATTTAGGATATGAGTATTCTTTCTCATTAGGTATTTTTTGCTCTCTCCTACTTTTTTGGAATGAGTAATTTAAACATGGACAAAAATGTCCTGGACAGTGTAGCTTATTGTCTGGAAACTTTTATTTATTGAGTTCTACTTGAATCATGTTCCAAAAATGCATACAATGTGTCATTTACATGCAGTTTTCTCTATTTCAGATATAGTGATTCCAGGTACAAATACTTCCACTGATGTGCAGGCAAGAATCAGTGCTGGAGAGAGCATCCACATTATCCGTGGGACAAAAGGTAATTTAACTGGCTTTCCATTTCTGGCCAAAGAAAACATGCATCTTTTCCTCGGTTTTTCTTTAAGATTTGAGATTGGAGAGGAAGGGGGAAGCTGAATTTTGTAGAAACAGACAAGAAGAGACAGACAAGAACCCATGCCCATTCTTGAGTGATTGTTGTTAATGTTGTTTAAAGCCAGTAATTGTGTCTTAGAGAAATCTTGCTTTCATGAATGAAATTGTGCTCTCCTGCTTCTGCATTAAGCACATCTACAGCCTCTGACGAGGTACCAATGGGCAATGCTAGAAATCACGATTGAACGCAAGGGGCTCCTACTTTGTTGGGTAGGTGGCTTTTCAATGTGTCACCAGTTAGTGATGGTTTTACTGTTGTTTCTTCCATCCATCTCCCTTTAGGGACGTACATCCGCACCAGTGATGGACGGATCTTTGCTATCCGGACCACTGGCAAGCCAAAGGGCAACGACGATCACCGCATGGTTGCCTCAGGTGAGGGGCTTATGCTCTCGGGAATCTCTAACTGCGTTTTCTTTAGCAATAACTATTAGTTATTTTTAATCCAGTCCTGTGTTTTTAAAAAAGGTTCCCAAAGTGACCTAGCTAACATAATAATGCTAAGAGCAATCATAAAATTATAGGCATTAAACTGCAGATCATGCATTGAAAGCAAGCTTGAAACAAAGAAACAAAAACAGACCTCTTTCAAACAAGGAGGGGACGGACTTGAAAGACTTTCAGGGCCTGCCACTCCTGGTGCTGATACCAGAAGGGCGGTCTCACATAACCCTCCACCTTCACCCTTGCAAAGGGGGGCATGGAGTAGGATCCCTAAAACAAACCCTAAAAGGTGGCAGACTGTAGGGGAGCAGGCAGACCCTGCAACACGGCAGGTCTGGGAGCTTGGAGGCTAAAACCGGCACTGTAAACTGAACACAGGCGCAAACTGGCAGCTAATGATGGCAACATAATATTGTAGCAATATGCTCCCATCTTCCCAACCCAGGCAACAGTCTGGCTGCCACATTTGGATCCATTACAATTTCCAGGTAGCCCTGTGTAAAGAGAGCACTGCACTGGTTCAGTATAGAAGTTACCTTCGTGTGGGTAACTAAATGTCAGGAGCTAGCTTTTTCCTTATTCGTTTCAAACTTCCATAAGAACAGGCAGTCTATTCGCAAAATAGCTCTTTATTGCCAGTGCACAAGCTGCAGCAACTGAAAGTCTAGTCTCCGTGTGACTAGAGTGGTTAGTTGAACCAAAACTAGAAACTACTTCCCAAACCCCTCCTTTTGAGTAGCACTGGGCTCCACCCCTGTGAAGAAGGGCTAGCCTCCAAGACCTGCCCAAGCTCTCTGGGTAGCAATTCTATCCTGACACCGTGTCTTGGGATCAGGGACTAGACAGGACATGGCTTCATCTTCCTTCTCCCCTTTGTCCCCTCCCTTCTCTTCCAAACTCTGTTCCCATGGTCTGTCCAAGAATCTGGGGTGAGCCTTGAGCGAGCCTCACCCTCCTCTGCCCCCTCAATTTCTATACCTCCTATCTCAGCCTTTATAGTTCTCATAAGAAGAGTCAGTGTAACTTTTGGAAAGCATGCCAGGAATAACTGTACAGTCTCTTCCCTACACTAACGCCTGTTGTGACCCCTATTGCTGGCAGACCAACCAAAATTGTAAAAGGCAGTCCTTGGTACCTCTGCCACCTAAGTATCCAAGGGAAACACCCGGTGTTTACATCAGAATCCTCACCATCACCACCATCCTGATGCATACACCCTCTGCCCTTAGGGCAGGCTTCATAACTTCTTGCAGAAATCCAGAATTTCTAGCCAATAGCACCCCTTACTGATTAAGTTACAGTTCCTTCCCCTATCTACTCCTGAACTGAAGTCAGAAGCTGGTTTTTCATCTCTACTCCCACTTTGGTATCAGATGTTGGACAAGAGATGGTGCTGATTGTACCAGTACACTGATGTCACTTCGTCCCAGACCTCATGTAGCAGTTTCACACAGATCAGGAAAAGCATGGGAAACAAGCTGGATCCTCATGGCAATCTGCAGATCAAGGGCTACACGATAGAACAGCAGTCCCCCAGCACTGCCATGGAGATGCATTCCCTGGGAATGACTGGGGCCACTGGAATGCAGTGCTGCAAGGCTCATCCCTTGCAAGCTGCTAAGAAGGACATAATGACGGAGATGGTATCCAAAGCTGTTGATGGGTCCAGAACATGGGGTCAGACTCATCCTGTCCATATCATAAAGAAGGGCACCCCCTCAATCCAGTGCATTTTAAATTAATTTCACTTCCATTCTACCCCATAACTGATGTTCTCTGGGAGGTTTGCAACAACCCATAAAAACCAGCCAATAAAATACATTAAAAAAGCATAAAATCATTTATTAAAACGTTTTAAACAGCTAAATCTCTCCTCTGCGCTGCGCTTAGTGATTTGAATGTCACTTTCCCACTTCCTAGCACCCCGTGTCCTGTATGCCAGGTTGCCATCTCTTTGTGAGAGAATCTTGCTCAGTGGCTTTATAGTGGGTAGGGTGCCGGGCTGAGACTTGGGAGATCCCAGTTCTCAGCCATGGAACTCCTTGGGTGACTTGAGGCTCATCGTGGACTCTCAGCCTAACTTGCTTCACGTGATGGTTGTTGCAGGGAACAAATGGAGAAAAGGAGACCCTTGTAAGCCACCTGGAGCTCCTTGCAAGAGGAAGACCGGCAGGCTACAAATGTACTGTAGTCATAATAATAAACAGCATGCATAATAAATAGGGTAATAAGAATAAATCACCAGGAAATACAATACATTTTCATAGCCTAATGCTAGTTAAATACCAAGTAATAGCAGTTGTCCAAAACTATAAATAAATTTGGAAATATTTAAGAGGCATCCCAAAAAAAAACAACACTGGAAAAATATGCCAAAATGTAATAATAAATTCCAGAGACCTGCTTTAAAAACTTATATTAATAAATCTAAATACCAGTATGTCAGAGAGCCTTATGGCTAATGGGGTGGGCTAAAAATCAATCAATCAAACAAACAAACAAACAAGGAACTATCTCTTTCCAGTAGCACTTCCCAAGAACAAGAGGCACCACAGGGACTCCAAGAAACACTCAAAATGAAACGCTTGCTATCAGCTAGAGCCAACAGTCTGTGCTGCCCATGCTCCCAGAGACACTGTTCAAAAGAAGCGTGTATGCAATATGTTGCTGATGATGTCCTTGTTGTTCGCAGGATCCCAGGGCCCATCTCTCGAATCCACAAGCAATGGTAGACACAATGCCTCATCGCCCAAACTGCCCAACACAGAGGAACTCACCCGGCCCATCTCCCCTGACAGCCCTGAAATCATCAGTGAACTCCAACAGTATGCAGAGGCGGCGGCTGCCCGTGAGTCCAGACACAACTCTCCTAGCACCAACACTGCACCTGGACACCCCACCCGGAAAGACAGTGCGGCCCCCTCAGCAGCTCGTGGAACTGAGCAACGAGCAGGGACCCATGGTTTGGCTTCCTCCTCCTCCTCCTCCTCCTCTTCCTCCTCCTCCTCGGCCCTGCCAGCCACCAGCCAGCTTGCTGACAGCCACTCAGTGCTAGACTTACGAGGGAACAAGCGCAAGTCGACGTCGCCAGCTGGCCCAGAGGAGCAAGCCCATCGGCAGCAGAAGAAGCGCTCGCTGCCAGCCGCGGTGCAGCCATATGGAAGTGGGTACCCTGTCTCTGGTGGGTTCACCATGCCTTCTGTCCCCTTAAACCACAACCTAACCCATCCATTTGCTCCCCAAGCAGGCAACTCCTTGTACATGGGCACAGGCTCCTCCTATTACCAGCTGCCCAGCTTGCTACCAGACCCCCATCTGGTGTTCCCCGTGACTACTGACCCTCTGCTGACAGCCGGCACCGCTAGTTCCTCCGCTGCTACCTCAGCCACCGCCAGCGTCCCCTCTTTCATGTTAAACCCCTCCATGACGGGGATGCTATCCAACTACTCGCTGCCCTTCACGCAGTCACTCCTGCCTGAGCCCAGGATGTTTGCTCCTTTTCCAGCCTCTGTCTTGCCCAGCAGCCTTCCCAGGAGCATGGCCTCTGCCTACCCTGGTTTCATGTCCCCTCATTCGGGGTATCCAGCAGGGGGCCTCCTTCGGTCCCAGGTGCCACCGTTTGACACCCATGAGGTCTCTGAGGTGGGCTGCAGCTCCAACGAGGATGAGGACAAAGATGATGATGTAATAGAGATCACAGGGAAGTAATGGGCTAGTCTCTTCTTTAGATCTCAACGCAGCCAGGAGGCAACAGATCCTCACTGGACCTTTCTGGGGTCAGGATTTTCCATCCAGGACACACAGCAGAGGTGGAGGAGGAGGTTGGGACGGAGGTGGCATCTTTAGCTTTCAAAGATCTGCTTTGTATGGGGAACTGTATTGTATGGACACCTCTCCCCACGCATGGGGAAAGAAGAGGGTTGGGGGAGCGAGGTAGAACTGCCAATCATAGGAGTGCCTCCTTGACTTTCCCTCCCTTGCTGTCTGTATTGTCTAAAAGGAGACCTGCCATTACGTTTCAGTGCCCTTTGTTAGGTTGGAGACACTGGGTTGAACTTTTTTGGTCTGCGGAATAACTCTCTCACACAAACTGCCTTATCTGTGAAGTACGTTACCCCATGATAAGTAGGGGGTGAGTTTGTGCCCTAGGAGACCTGATGATAAATAGCGTTGTTAATGGAGGGAGGGGAGCGGGGTTGGAAAGAGCAGGCAATGTGTAATGTGTAGGTGGGAGGGTGGGGTGGGGCAGGGTCAATGTGGAAACCCGTTTTGTCGTTTATCCTTCTGGAAACTCAGACAGATTAGTGTGAGAGCCTTCACCAAGCCCTTGCCTGAGTGGTGACAGGAACACAGGTGGTGGGGAGAAATGGTGCTGATATGTGGCTCTTAGGCCTTCCCTGGGAGGTCCATTTGAAGACGAGGACTGGTGTAGGTTCAGTTCCATGCTGGCTTCTTCAGCAGGCTTCAGTTGGACGTTGTAGCAAGTCTCTTAGCGAGGTAGTGCTTGGGGAAGGACTTGTGAGGGCTTTCCCGGTCCCTTCTCTAGCTTTTGGTAGTGATTACTCTCCTTCTGCTTTCCCCCTCCCACATCCCCAGCACTGCTGAGGGGTAAGCCTGTGGGTTTGGCAGGATGAATCTTCGCTGTCACGCTCCTGCTGGCCTCAGTGAGGTGAACCTCTTGCAAGAGGTGCACACCCATGAAGTCCTGCCGCTGCCTGCGTGTTTATTGACACTGTGACTGGACCGGCCTTTTTGCTTCCTCTCCTGCCCTCCCCAGAACCGCTTTGTTAATTTATTTCATGAAAGCCAAGTATTTATTTGGGGATTCTTCACTCTTTTCTGCTCCTTGCTTGCTGAAAAGAATGGCCTTTGCAGAAGGTGGTGATAGTTCACAGGGTGGGCTGTACAGGGAAGAAGCAGGGAGACGAGTGGACTGCTCGACCAAAGCAGAGTGCAGGACCAAGACAGAGCATCCCTCTCAAAGTCTGTTTCCACATTTCTTCAGCTGATGAGGCATCCAGGAATCACTGTCTTGTTGGGGGAACAAGTAGTGTTATTGCAGCGGCTCCCATCCAGTATTGGATGGAGCTGTTTCTCCTGTAGTAGACTGGGTACTCAGCATCCCAACGGCTGATGCTAAACTGACTATCCCTACTTTTTGGAGAGGCTGGTTACTAATGCAACCAGCTTGCTGGTGGTGCATATCCAGGAGTGAGAAGGGAGGACTGTCCTTTTAGCAAGGACACTATTGCCCAGCTCTGGGCCAAGCTGACTCCATCCTGTGTTTTCCTAGTCATGTGTGAGGAGAATCACAGGAGGGTTAATGGAGGGAGGAAGTTGCATGAGATCGATAGAGAAGCCAATGCCTCTCTTGCTGTCTGCTGTGAGGAGGGAAACTTATGGGGATGGTGGGGTGGGACCCAAAGTGGGTCTTAAAAGAAAGCACCAGGTAAACAGGTCTCCATATTCCTGGCCTCTAAAGTATTAGTATCCCAGGGAAAGAGGAGGGACACTGAACCCTCACAAGATACCCAGGACAAAGAATGAGTGGCAGTGGTCACCGGAGACTCAGGCTGTGCAAGCCTTTCTGAAATAGTGGTTCTGACAACTTTGTGACGTGGTTGTTGAAAAGGATTAAGTGGTTCCACTACAGTGGTGAAAACTGCCGCACCCCACATGACTTCTCTCACATTGACTCACTCACGTGTTCTCTCTCTGTCACTCTCTCGCTCTCTGTCTCTCACTCACACTCACTCTTTCTCTCTCCCTTCTTGGCTCTCACACACATCTTTCCGTGCAAAGTTTGTATCCCACCTGATTTGCTAAAGGTAAGGTTGGGATTGACTCTTTGTCCATACTGTTGAAGGCCTACCAAACCCCTCAGTTGACGAGATGGTAGCTAAGTGTATATTGCATGTCAGAGATGGTTCCGAAAGAGACCTCTGTGAGTGTGTGTGTTGTGTGTATGCACGCGCACACGTACACCAGTCTGAATCATTAAAAGCATGTAATGTTGGGCTTTCTGACTTTCTTTGTTTATTGGACACTCTGTCAACCCTGACTTCACCATTCATAGAAGCCTTAGATTTACAGTTAGCTATGCAAATTACTTTAATTATTTTAAAATAAAAACATTAAAATAGTGCTTTCTTCTTTAACATATCCTAGGAGTTGAAAACCGAGGGGTTCTGAGCAAACTTCTGGACAACTTGTCTTTGGATGCACCATGGGAATAAAAAAAAAAACAAACTCAATCCCCCACAAAAATAACAAAGCAAATTAACTGATGGTGTCCATTCGCGTTTCTCCAAAGACTTGGCCATGGTACGTCTGTGAATCATGCCCTTTTGTGATTTGTATGTGTCAACCTCATACAAAAGATGATGACACTGATTGTACTGTAAAATCACTCAGCTGTCTTTTGCAACCCTTTAAGTGGACTTGGGGACTGGATCTAGGCAAGAAGGTATGTTCTTGCTTGAGCAGCAAGGATTCAAAGCTTCTGAAGCCTAAGCAATTTTTGGAGAAGAATATTGTAGTTTTAGGCAGATTCCTCAGTCTTCAGTGTGTGTTGTTTCTGGCAGCATAGCTGATAAAAAACTGAGACATCCTACTAGCTTTTGTCTTGGCTTTAATGGAGTAGCGGACTTCACAAGACAGGCTAATGTCTTTTGGATGCTGTATCTCTTACTTCAAACAGTGCTTTTTCCTGATTCTCTTGCTCCTTTTGAAGAATGTACAAAGATTCCAGAGGAGTCACCAGCCTAAGCAGGTGATTAGCACGTCCTCACTCTAATGGGTGGGATGTTCAATTAGGGAAGTAGATACATCTGGGATTAAGTAAACTAGGCTCTGTAACCACCTTTAAAATAGGAATGCCAGATAAGGCATTTTAGCTGTTAGCAGTAGGAAATGGTGTGCACCAGTTATTTACTACTCTGGCCACTGGATGGCAGTGTTGCATCACATGGATTATTTAGGTTTAAAAATACCTTATTTTGAAAAACTGGCTTTTGTACTTGGTTAAAAGAACTATGAAAATGTTGAGTCTGTCTGTGCACATCTCTTTCTCTTGCTCTGTCTCTCTCCCTCTGTCTGTCTGTCTTTTAACTAACTGTCTTATGTTAGCGGAAAGTTTGATAATGAATTTACTCCACTGACAGACTCCGCTCCACCTCCCTGTCTCTCTTTCTCTAATACCTTCTGTTAGACCAACCACTTTTGGTGACTTTGGAGAGAAGTATATTTGTTGGGATAGATGCCTGTACTTCAGCAAGTGCCTGAGCTGGGTCTCTTTCCCACCCATAGGGATTTAAACCAACTTGTCCCCCAGAGATTGAAATGGTCATTTCCCAGCACTTGCCGAAAGAGACTCCCATTAGCCTTGGGAATGAAGATGACATCCTTCTGCTCTGCAACCTTGTTGTTCCTCGAGGGCACAGAACACCCACCTTCCCTCCTGCTCGCCAGGTGTTAAACATCCCCTCAGAAGCTGTGGTTTCTAGCAGCAAAGAGGTGGCCGCTGTGCCTTGTCTGTGGAGGGCAGAGAATGCTTGAGTGGGGCTGGGTCAGAAGAACAAAGTAGTTTAAAGAGGAGCAAGTCAGAAAGGCCCCTTTCTTGATGCAGCTAAAATCCCAAGGGATGGAGTGGCCATTTAGAAGCAGCACATATTGTTTGCATTGTGGGTAGATACCTGAATCTAACCATAGCCACTGGCATTCCTGTTCCCCTTATCTCTGATACCATTTCTTTCTCGTGCTGGCTCAGAGTTAAATTCCTGAAGCTAATTCCGATGGGCTCTCTCTGAGCCTGTGTGACTTGCACTGCTAAATTTCAGACTACAAAAGAGTTAAAGAAAGTCATTTATGGTATCCAGACTTAAAAGATGCTAACATGCAGCTGAGGTATCCAGGTGCATTTGGCTGAAGCCTTGGACTGCTTAGGGACGTTCTTGCATAATACCCCAGGAGCTGTGAATATTTGTGTAATCTCTGGGCTACCTTTGGCAGGCCATACTATTCACTGCAAGGTGATTCCTACATACTGTAGTACTTCTCCAGCATCTCTACAGCAACAGAACGAGTTCAAGTGGTACAGAATGAAACTTGACCTCCCTTAATAACTGCTTAGAGGAAAGAGGTGACCTTAAACTGTGACATTTCCTGGACCTTGATAGAACACTCTTCAGTTCTGCTCAGCTTTGGGCAGCATATAATTTAGAACTGACCAAGATTTGTGTGGACATACATTGCCTTTGATGAAGTAGCTTTCATTCATTTGGTGGACACAGAACCAGGCAGTCTCTCCCCAGCCATGGTAAGAATTATGTGCGTGCATGTATGTTAATTTCTGGGTTCTGTCTCTTTGCCACATGCAGTTATGACCAAGAGATGGAAACTGGGGTGGATTATGCCAAATGAAGGCAGGCTTGGTACTCAGTGGGTTCTATAGAGCTCTATAGGACAAAGTTAAATGGGCTGCAGTCTGGGGAGACAGTACCTGACTGTAGCCCCAGGCAAAGCTGTCAGGTGTTCCTGCAATATACAGGCACCATATCTCTAGTTTCAGAGAAAGCTGCCTCATATTTTGCTATGGGAATTGAATAATATGAGTGCAAAAGTCAGTAACATCCTACCTGTGTTTGCACTGCAATCTTGGTTTAGGCACTGTAGATGTAATCACTAAATGAGATACATTTATAATGTATGGCCCCATTAAACAGAGAGAAGTATACATTACTAGATTCACAAAATTCTCTTGTTTGCTTTCTTTTAACACCAAAACCATATTGAGCCAAGATAGTTGATTTACAAGTGAAAGGGCATTTAGTCCTTGTAGGAATGTCTGATCTAGAAAGCAGATTCTCTGAAAAGCAGGGAAGATGCTGTAAGTTCAGGGAGGATCAGCAAAGAATGGGAAAAGTGGGGTAAGGAGCTGGTGGAGGAGGGGGGAATCTTTCCTTCTTGAGCTCTTTATTGACACAAGACCACTAACAGCTGCCCACAGCTGCATTGCTTGTTGGGTCCTATATTATTAGCTTCCCAGCTTGTGTTCTCTTGTCCCTCCATTAAATCCATTTGTACAGGGGAGCTGAGTGAATCCAATGAATTTCTTGGTTTTTGTTCTGCCTTTAGTTTGTGGCCTGTCTATGTGACTGAAAAAAGGCATTTCTGTAGCAGGGTCAGTGGGTCGGCTGGTTGCACGCATGGGTTATGTGCTTCCCTCATCTCTCTGTCTAATGGGATGTGCTCACCTGATCTCCCAGAACAGAGACATTGAACAATTTTGTTGTTTATATGATGTATTTATTTTTACTTGTGTTTCATGTCATTTTTTAAAAAAATAATAAATTGTAAGTTGGTATAATGCCTATCAATTCTCTCTCCTTTTTTAAAAAAATAAACTTCAAATGTTACAAATAGTCATTGATCTTGGTCTAAAATGAATGTGACCTTTTTTTTTTTCAAGCAAAAATACTCTGGTTCCAGTCCTGCTAAAATTAGTTGTAACTAGAGCCCACTGAGAACAATGTTGCATACAAGTAGCTTGTTCAGTGATCCCTAAATCACAGCTGACTATAGCCAGATTGAGGCCTCTGTCTTTATAAAAGCTGAATTGCCTTAATATTTGAAGGGAAAAGGTTTAATTCAGTAATTATTAGCCCTTGGATCAGCCAACCACTTAAGCATGAAAGATTGGCAAGTCTACCTGTCAAGGTCTAGGTATTTGCCATCACCCAATCTTAACCCACTCTCCCTACCACTGAACTAATGTGTTTTTCAACCATGTCTGCCCTGAGTGCTTATTGAAACAGGCTTTCACCAAAGAAGCCTGAAAGCATATTTTAGATTAGCCTGACTGGCCTAATACCCATAAGGATATCCAAGCCACAGAATAAATCTCACTACGAACTACAAAAATCTTTTTATGGTTGGTTTTGTGGAAGAAGCGCACAGCGGTTCATCAAACTGCAAGATGAAATCTCTCTGCCTTTTCACAACAGGGATCTTTAGACTGCCTTTCCTATTCTGCTTTTGTGTGAAAACAATGCCACCATTAAATGAGAGAGAGAGAGAGGGAGAGAGAGGGAGGGAGGAACTATGGATTCTACTATTTGCAGCAAGGATGGTCTGTTAGAGGGAGCTGCAACTCAACATCTCTGTCTTAGGGTGTCACTGTTGCAGATGTTAAAGATTACTAAAGATTTTCTCTCTGAGTCACTCTTGGCAGCCCAGAGCATCTGATTTCCAAGATGTCAGTGCAGGGAGGATTTCTGCAGTGAGGTGGAGCAAACCTTGAAACTCATTTCACTGGCAACCAATTTATTTCAAATGGTTCCGGTTCTGGCTAGAAGCTGCCTGAAGCTGAACCCGTACCAAATATCCTTGTGCTTATTTTTCATTTATTGAATTTAATTTATATACCACACACAATAGTCCTACACAGGGTTTCCTAGGCAGTTCTGTTCTTAATTATTCTTAAGTCTTACGTCTGCTGCTCTTAATGTGAACAGGAACTGGTATTAGCCATGGCCTAGGAGAAGGATAAGAGCAATTTTGCCCTATTCAAAAGACTCATTCTGAACCTTGAACACTTACATTCATACATGTCTGCCCAGATACCATTTTAACCCTGTTTTCCACATTATTGCTAACCAGTTTTGCTGAATGGACTCAGAAGTGATTCTGAATATTTGGAAAGTTGAACTTGTTAAGTAATGCGGTTCTGGCTAGGTCATGGTACTGAATAAAATGCTGCTAGTAATTTTGATTTTTGCACCTCCACTTATCCAGTGATAGCTGTCACTTAACATCAACAATCCAGTCAAAAGCACCTGACATATCATCTGATAGAATTCTCTGTTGCATTATTTTTAAGTTCTGGTTCAGTTCCTTCTAGCAACTTGAAAGTACATCAAAGGTAAGGTGAAGAGAGAAGTGCAAGAAGTCATTGTGACAGCAATGTATCAATAGAACTGACAGTCAAACTGTATTTCCAATACAAGTCAGCTGTAATTAACTATAATCTACAGGGAGATATTTGAGTTCTGTAAATATAACAGTCTGATACAGTGGTACCTCGGCTCACGAACGCCTTGGCTCTCGAACAAATCGGGTCACGAACAAACATTTCTGAAAAATTTTGACTTGAGTTGTGAACTCCACATTGGGTGGTGGCCAGGATTGCAGCCATCTCCCCTGCGCCCGAGTGGGGAGATGGCCACGATCCCAGTTCTGCTTGTGCAGGGAAGGTGTCCGTGCTCAGAGGCGTGCTGCTGCAGGAAAGACGGGAGCAGCAAAGCCGAGCCACAGGGGAGATGGCCAAGATTCTGCCCGTCTTTCCTGCAGGAGTGTGCTTCTGATCAGGCACGCCTTCCCTGCACGAACGGAACTGCGATCGCGGCCATCTCCCCACTCCCAGCGCACCATTTGCGCCCATCTCTCCCTCCCCCAGTGCGCCCGTGATCTCTCCCATCTCTCCCCCCCACCCCCCAGTGCGCCGGGATGATGGGTGTGTGCAGGGATGACGGGTGCAATCTCGGTTGTGCTGGGGGCGTGGGGAGATGGCCGTGCTTGTTCTTGGTGTGTGTGGGGGGGAAGATGGCCACGATCTTTGTTGTTGTCACTTTGCTTCACATTTTTCTGATTTAAAAAATGGTTACAGAATGGATTAACCTTATTTACATTGAACCTTATCAGGAAATTTAACTTGGCTCACGACCAATTTGGGTCACAACCAGAGTCCTGGAACGGATTAAGTTTGTGAGCCAAGGTACCACTGTATAGGTAACAGTACGGCATTACATTACTTAGCATTTATATACTTTCTTTTGTGACTTCAAAGTACTTCACATACATTATCTCAGCAACCACATTAGGATCTATCATAAGGAAAATTGCACATTATTGAGTATTCCTTATTCCCTGGAAAAAGAACTAGTTGATTTTGTTGATTAGAGGAGACTAAATCATCCCAGATTATGGCCACTCCTAACACTGTTCCTATTCATTGCGATATATAACGCAAATACATAACTGTGTTAGTCTCAAGACATTCAGTTGTGACTCAGAAATAACCTTCAAATAAGCTCCATAAAGTACAGTTCCAGAGCACCAAGAAACTAGCCAGTCTAGAATTTCCACGTGTCTGACACTCAATGGTAAAGGCTTCCCAGCATGTGTAAAGCCATGATTGTTGGAAACCATCCAGAGACATTCAGCCATGAGGCAGCATAGAAATGAAAATAATGATGGTGTTAATGCTTCAGTACAACTCTACATTTTAGCATCTTTAGCCCCAGGGGTAAAGTAGGCAATATGGACTAGTTGAGTCATAAACCATAGAGGTGGGAGAAGCAGAAGTCATCTTGTCCAAGGCTATGCCACAGGGCAGGACCTGCATCCCCTCAAACTCCTGTAGAACAATTTACAAAATGCAGAGCAGCATGTTCCATAGACAGAGAACAAGTGGACTGCAGAAAGGAACTCACGGGGCAGATTACTTGAGCATGAGTGAAGAGAGTGGGACTGCATGGTCATTAAAATTTATTTATTTATTTATTTATTAGGTCATTTCTATGCCACCCCTTGCCGAAGCCTCGGGGCGGCTTACAACACAATAAAATACAAAAATAACAATATAAAATTAAAATTAACAATATAAAAATTTCTATTGTATCTTCAGCCAGCATCTTCATCAGTCTAGTTTTGAAGATCCCCTGTGGAACAGGGAACCAGCACTGTTGAACCCATTTCTTGGAAGTGTGCAATGGCTTCCTGTGTAACAGTGCTTGCCATTTATAGTGCTGCTTCTAACATTAAATTTACTTGAGCTGAGTTGTCTTCTGTGGCCCTCTGCAGGAACCAGAGATTCCAACTATGCAGCTGGTGAGTTCCTCCATAGAATCTGGAAGAGGCAGATGTCCTTACAGCCCTCATGAGCCTTTCATAGGGCTGCTCATAGGTAAGAGAGACTATGGCCAGGGAGCAGTAACAGAAAACTGGACCGCAGTGATACTCCATTCAAAACTGTGTCTACGTGCTTATGCATGCTTCTATAATGTATATCTCTGTGGGCATCGATTCAACTGTGGTTCTTGCTATAGTAATCCTTTTTGCAATTGCTATATCTCTGTGCCAGAAAAGAACCCATGTATTGCAAGCCAGAAAAGAAGGTGTCTGATGTTATTTTTCTCACTCAATATCTACGTATATAGTGTAGGCCTGAAAGAGAAGAAAGCTCCTTATAGAAGTGTGTAGAAGCTAATGGCAGTATCCAGCAATGTCATTCTACTAGTACAAATGACACTGCACTATTGAGAATCCAACAATACTTCTGCTTGATTGGCTGGTTGAACAAACACTGGTGGTCTGCTGGCTCATTTGTGCAATGAAAGGCAGTGGAATTCTGCTAATGCATCCAGTGATGCACTGGATTTAGGCCAGAGAGTGTGGATAGTGTGCCAATATTTTTCTTTTCCTGATTTCACAGATGGGGAGTTTTATTCAGGCTCTTCCATCGACTTCATGGGGAGCAGTGCTGCCTTTTTCCGGACACAGCTCGATAGGGCCGACCAGAACTACATCCGGACAGAGCAGAATCAGGATTATTGGCTGAATGGTAAATGGGTGGAGGTGAAATAAACTGTCAAGGAGACTATTTCCATTAGGTGAAGTGCCTGCCATTGTCATGCATGTAGCCCTTCAGCCAATTAGCTATGATCGCAACAAAGGCCTCCTTCCATTCCATTCCATTTTTGCCCAATAGTCACAACATCTCTGGGAGCTTCACAAAAATCACAACATACTAAAACCATAATATGAAATCTTTAACACAGCAATTTCAAAAACAATTTAAAACAACTGAAAACACTTAGAATAAGTTGCCAGGGCCTGAAAAAACTGTTGATCCTAAAAGCTCCATCAAGTGGACCTCTCAATAGCTCACTGTGGCCCTTTTGTGAATTATAATAGCTCCCTTGTTAAAGAAGCTTCACAAGCTACTTGTCTATTTCTGAGTGGAATTTAACATACTGGTTATAACCTAGCAAGCCCCACGTGGCTTGGAACCAGGCCAGGTGAATCACTTCTCCTAGAGGATCTTAAAATCCCTTCTTTTGGGACCACCACCTTCAGAGGTACATTTGGTGGTGACCTGAGAGAAGCCCTTCTTGGTGGCTGCTCCCAGGTTGTGGAACTCCCTGCAGAGAGATGCTTGGTTTGCTCCCTTTCTGCTGTCCTTCCCCTAGCAAGCAAACATCTTTTTATTCCAGAAGGCCTTTGATGTGTAAGTATGTCTGCTGGGTCGGAAGATGTTTTTATTCTGTTCTTAATATGTCTTTCAAGGTGTTTTAATGCATTTGTTTTAATCAAGTTTTCTTTATAATTGGAATGCCATTTTTCTTAGTAGAAAGCTGGGATATAAATCAATCAATCAATCAAATATGCCATCAAATGCCCCGGAATAAAGGGAAGTCTTAATCAGGTGCCAAAAAGACATCAATGTTGGCATCCAATGGATCTCAGTGGGGGAGAGCACTCCACTATTGTGTGGTTAGCAGCTGAGAAGATCCTGTCTCTTTCCCCCATCCTCTGAGCCTCCCTTGGAGGAGGCACTCCAAATTGGGTGGAAATATCTGTCCAGAAGCAGGATTCTTTTCTGACCTCATGCCATCCAGTTATTTTGGACTGCAATTCCTGGCACTTATTCCCATTAGCTATGCTGGCTGGGGCTCATGAAATTGAACTCCAAAGCACCCAGAGGGTATCAGGTTGGAAAGGCTGCTACTACTGTACCAGGGAAAAGCAACTCTTGTTCCATCTGTACTGTTGGAATTTGTCTCGAAGAATGCATTGTCAGGATTCTGAGTGTTATTTGTTTTGCTTTCTTACTGCTGTAAGTATCTTGATTTTTTTTTAAAGTTTCCATTAAGATCTATTTTATTTATCTAGTGCTGTATTAGTTCTTTTTATAGAAGAAACATGCTGTTTCATCCTCAGTTCTCCTCCTCGTAGAACCTGTGTTCATTGGTGCCTATGCCATTCCTGACACCTTCAGCCATGATGATGATAAAGTATACTTCTTTTTCCGGGAGACTGCAGTGGAAGCTGGACAATGGGAGAAAAGACGCACCCATGCCAGGGTGGCACGTGTTTGCAAGGTCAGCTATGGGTATCTCCTGTAAAATACAGCTTAGGTATGAAGAAGGTACCTTTTAGTTCAGTCTCTAACACTGCTGCTTAGTGCCCTGGACTTTGTCAGAGAGTCTACTTCTCTGAGCTAGTAGGCACTAGCTTCCAGCTCAGTCTGATTAAAGATTAAATCTGCAGTGTAGGCATGTTTACTTGGAATTAAGATCTAGTATGTTCAATGCAATTTAGTTCCTAGAAGTTCATTTAATATTACAACCCAAATTTAACATTTGTATAGCACATTCCATGTGCTTGAAGCAAATGACCTATGCAGCATTACAACATCAACATTTCCATTTGCAGATGAGAGGCTTTGGCTGAAAGCTTGCAGCAAATTTTAAGCTAAAGTACAAATATATCCCCTTTACACTTTCTAAGGCTTTCTTTGTGTATGTTGGGAGTGAGAAAGATAGCTGCTTTGGGTGCACATTCTCACAGGGTGCTAGCTGGTTTTCAGAAGAGGAGGTGGAGGAGAAAGAAGAGGGGAGGGGAGGGGAGGGGCTTGAAATCTGGGCCAATTCCAGATGTTGAGATGAGAAAAGCAGAGATGCTTATCTCAAGGCCAGACTCCTCAGGAGCTCAGGCAGCCTCTGGGAATAAGCAAGATATACCATTAGTAGGAAGGGACTTGGAATAGGAGAGTTTCTCAGAGACAGACAGGGCAGGTACGACTCTTGATGCCATGCCACAGTGTCAGCAGAGGAGGATAGCCAAATTAGAGGGCTGGTGTGCAGAAAGGAGGCGTGTTCATTTTCAGAAGGCTCCTTCTGAAGGGTTAGGTCTCCGGTATAAGGAGAGTTCTTGGAGGCAAATACTAGATTGGGTTCAATGAACCACCCTGAGCATGCTCAGAGATTCATTCTGAGTGTGCTTCTGAAAAATGCTTTGGTCAGTAAAGAGCATTTTGCAGAAAGATTTGTGGCTTTTCAATGTGCAAAGGGAACTCAGAACAGTTCTTCTGTCTTTCAGAAGCACTGGCATAAATTTGGAATTGTTATTTTCATATGTACTGACACCCTGGTTGATGTATCCCTACCCATATATGAAAATAGCCCTGGAGTCCACCCTTCCTCTCAGAAGGGATAGATACCCCAAATTTCCTGAATTTCAAAAAAGGCTTGAAACTGTGATCATACTGTAATCATGGTAGGATCTACTTTAGACATTTTTATTGGCATTGTAGTGTTCAACTCTGCCACCCCCAAATGTCATTCTCACATTGTTTCTTCCATTATATGCCAGATTTCTTCAGACTACTTATATGACAGCTTTTTAATATTTTGTGATTTTCAAAGGTACATTCCAATGTATGCTAAACTTGAGATCCTGTTCTGGGCAGAGAAGTAGCTCCTTCAGTGGTGTTGGCCGGGGTGGAGGGGCTCATGAAGACATTCTCTGTTGTGTTCTGGAACAATTCTGCAAAGGAGATAGACCTGCACAGCCTTTAGTTGCTTTCCAGCCTTTGTTCCTCGTCCATGGCTTCTCTCACTCTGTCTCTCTTGTTTTCCCACTCTGACTTGTCCAATGATCCAGCAAGTCAGTGCAGTGCAGCTTACCCCCTCCCTTCCAAGAAGTAAATCATAGGACATAACCTTTACTCAGAAGTAAACCACATTGACTTCAATGGTGCTTACTCTTGAGAAAGTCAGTGTGGGAGAAGAGCTATTGTTGCTTTCAGGAATTGCTTTTGGGTGGACACTGATGGGCACACTGATCCTGAAGGCTTCATCCTACAGGAGATGAAAGAACAGTAAGCAGCACCTCCCCTCTTCTCCCCCCCCCCCACCACACATTTCTGTGAGGGGGCAGGAGTTTTTTTCTCTTTTTAAAATCTCTCTTTGTCCATCTTTCACACTTGTGCATAAATAAATAAATAAATGAGGGAGGGAGGGAGGGAGGGAGGGAGGGAAGCTCTTTTTTTTTAAAGGCCGTTTTCTTACACAAACCTCTTTTCAACCCTGCCTACTTCTTGTGTGTTCTGTAGTAGGAACAGCACTGCATTCATTAGCATGGACCTCAACCCCCATCAATGTGGTTTGCATCAGTGGTGCTGCAGCACTCCCTGATAAACAGAAGGGGCTCTGCTGTAGATCCCCTCCAGGATCAGACTGATTCCCATCAAAGCAGTAGTCCAGAGAAGCCATGATGGACATGAAGATAATGTCTGACATGCTGCTATTTGTGATTGACAGAATGACGTTGGTGGGAAACACAGCCTCATTAACCGTTGGAGCACCTTCCTTAAAGCTCGGCTGGTCTGCTCTATCCCAGGTCTGCATGGCATCCAGACGCACTTTGATCAGCTGGGTAAGCTGTTTACACATTCTTTCCTATGGCAATCCAGTCATCTGATGCTGGCCTGTGACTCTGCAGGATCTTTCACCTCTCCTCTGTCATGCCCAGATAGATGCCTCTTCCTTGATTGCTCTTCTCAAGAAGTAGGTGCACAATCAAGCAACACCAAGTATCTCTGCTTTTGTGTGTGAATGGGCTGACCAAGTCTGAGTAGCCAATGGTCAACAAAAATTGGGCTGTCACCAGGGTATGCCTGTGCTTCCAAAGGCCTCAAGTCCCCTCAGCAGGCCAAGGACTAGAAGCTGGGACTTAACGAGGGCCAACTTTGGTCAATTGAAGGCCAGACTAGGGAAAGCCTCCTGGGAGAGGGTACTGGAAGGCAAAGGAGTTCAGGAGGGATGGCACTAAAAAGGGAGGTCTTGGAGGCACAAGCCTTGACAATCCCGCTGGTTAGCAAGGTGGGGAGGTGAAGGAGAGCACCATCATGGATGCGAAAAGAGGTGGTAAGAGGGATTAGACATAAGAGGAACCTCCGTGGGAAATGGGCACTGGGGCAAGTAGACAAAAGGATATACCAGAAGGAGGAGGCTCATTGCAGGATTCTTTGCAAGGCTAAGGCTGATTATGAGCTGAGGCTTGCAAAAAATATCAGGAGCAACAAAAAGAGCTTCTATCAACATGTAAATAGCAAGGGGAAGGGGAGCTAGGTGGTGGGACCGCTTAATAAGGAAGAAGGAGATTTGGTGACTGATGTGAGGGAACAGGCACAGCTACTAAATAATTATTTTGTCTTAGTGCTCTCTCCAAAGCAGTACAGGGGAGATCTACACGACGGAATGGGTGAGGCTGAGGATTTAGGGCACAGATTAGAGTCACCCTGCTAGAAGTCGAGAAGCTCCTCAGAGCACTGGACATTACAAAGGTGCCAGGCCTTGAGGGTACTTCAGGAGTTGGCAGGGATACTCTCACGCCCATTGGCCTCCATTGTTGAAGCTTCATGGAGAACGGGTGAAGTTCCAGAGGACTGGAGGGTGGTGTCAGTGGTCCCAGTTTTCAAAAAGGGTAGTGGGGGACATGGAGAATTACGGGCCAGTTAGCCTTACGTCCATTCTAGGAAAGACAGTGGAAAGGCTCATAATAGTGAGAAATCTAGTAACTCTAGACAGGGAAGGAAGGTTGGTGACCACGCAACATGGTCCTGCCAGATGAACCTTGTGGAATTCTATGACAAGGTTTTGAGTTGGCTAGATGGAGGGGACGCGGTGGATGTGGTTTACCTGGATTTCAGCAAAGTTCTGCATGATATCATGATTGAGAAATTGAGTTTTGCGATAGACCGATGCACTGCCCAATTAGTGCATGGTTGATGGACCAAAAGCAGAGTGTAACTATTAGTGGGGAGTCATCAGTATGGCAGCTGGTGACAAGCAGGGTCCCCCAGGGCTCTGTCCTGGGACTGATCCTGTTCAGTCTTTTCATAAATGACCTGGAAGAGGGGGTGACCACTCTGCTGATCAAATTTGCAAACAATACTTAAAGGGTGGTGGTGGCCACAACTGAGGAGCAGGTACTCTGGATCCAGAAGGATCTGAACAGACTACGGAAGTGGACAGGGGACAACAAGATGGTGTTCAGTGTGGATAATTGCAAGGTCCTGCAGTTGGGGCATAGGAATGGGTGTCATGAGTACAGGTGAACGGACAAATGGCTGAAGAGCAGCACTTGTGAAAAGGATCTTGGGGTACTGGTTGACTGCAGGCTAAACATGAGTCAGCAGTGTGATATGGTGGTCAAGAGGGCAAATGCCACCCTTGGTTGCATAGCCAGAAGTGTGGCTTCTAGATCAAGAGAGATATTACTGTCACTCTAAACTACTCTGGTACACCTGCAACTGGAATATTGTGTTCAGTTCTGGGTTCCACATTACAGGAAGGATATAGCCAGGTTAGAGTCAGTGCAGCATAGGGCCACAAGGATGGTGGCCAATTTGCAGGGTAAGCCATATGAGGTGAGTCTGAGGGAACTGGGTCTTTTCAGCTTGGACGGGGTCTGTTGGCGGCATATAGGTACGTGAGGGGGTGTCACAGAGGTGGGTAGAGACTTGTTGTCCCCTGTGGAGAAGGGCAGGATGTGTTCCAATGGAGCAAAGCTCAAGGAACCAAGATTCAGTTTGGATGCCAGGAAGTACTTTCTGACAGATAGGAGCCCGACGGTATGGAATGGGCTTCCACAGAAGGTGGTTGAAGCCCCATCAGTGAGGGTGTTCAAGGATAGACTGGACATGCACATGTTAGGCATGTCGTGAGTGGAGCCGACTGGAGCCAGGGGTCAGACTAGATGGCCAGGGTGAGCCCTTCTGACTTGCTCTGTTTCTTTGTTTCTAAATTATCAGTCCTCAAATGATGTAAATATAGGCTCAAAAGCAGGCAAGCAAAAGCTGGGCAAAGTACAAAAAGCTGGTGGAAGCAGGCAGGGAAGTTGAGCCAAATTGGTTGTGGTTTGCATTTGGGACTTGAATGCGCCACATTAGTCATCAAAATAAGCAAGTCTGAGAAAATTTGCTTAATTTTCCTTATTTACAAATGCCTTATTTTCCTTATTTATTTACAGAGATTAGCAGAATTCAGCTTGTCATTGCACATATTATTTATATTTTTCTAGAGTGAAAGATACACTATTTTGATCATAACCTGTACAGCAGGTTGTACATTTGACTTGTCACATCCTCCTGCCTGACTCCATCTTACGAACTGCTGAAGACCCAGCTTAGCTGGAAGTGTCCTTTCTGAAGTTGAAGGTCCAAAGTCACATGGGTGGGTAGATGAAGGAGTTGAAATGATTGGCGCTCTCCCCTGAGTTGAGTCTCTGAGATTGCCACAGCATGGCAGATATGGGCTTCCTCATCTTGGTTTTCTCCCCTTTACCTTCCAGAGGATGTCTTCCTCCTAAACACCCGTACTGTGCAGAACCCTCTTCTTTATGGCCTCTTCACAGTGTCCAGGTGAGAGCATATAGGGAAATGTGCAGGACTAAGGAAAATGATCCATTGCTTGTGCATGGGTTAGCTATGCTTCAGCATGCCTGAGGACATCATTTAGGGAGGGTGCTTATGCACAGACTGCACTGCTACCTTTTAGGACCAGGACCTGTGATCAGGATTAGGAGAACTAGTACTTCAGTGCTCCTGCTCTTTCCAAACCCTGCTTTTCCTGCTTATGGGCACTTGCCAGCAGAGTGTCAGCCTGTGCAAAGCCTCTCCTGGCACGGTGGAGGATTTCATGCATCATTCAACTAAAGCAAAGACCAGGAAGAACTAAATAGCAGCATAGAAGAAAGCTGGTGAAGAGCAAGCATTCTGTGAAACAGTAGCGGGAAGGGGGAGCTAGCAAAAAGAGAACATCTTAGTCCTCCAAACATAGAGCCTCTCTGTGATTATGCTGGTCAGATCTGTGCAACACATGGTCACACACAACCCTAGGAGGACTTCAGTGCAATCTGCAGCAGCTGCAGCCAAAAATACAGTCCGAAGCCACCACCCTGTCAGGTTCCCCCATCCTCTGCTGCATGTTGTTGTCTCCTCACCTCTGTTCTTTCCCTGCCAGGCTGAGAGAAGGAAAACTCTTCTTACCAACCCTTAATGGGAAGAAAGGCAGTGGAAGGAAGGCAAATGTGTGAATGGGGGGAAATGTGGAAAGGAAACTGTGTGCATGGAGAGAAAGAGTGGATGGAAGAAGAATGTGGAAGTAAGTGCGTATTTCTATGAGTATAAAAGAGAAGATGGGAAAGAAAGAGGGCTGTGTGTGTTTAAGAGAAGGAGAGAGAATCATGCAGTCATCTGAAGCTCAGATGACTGCATTATAGATTAATGAAGGCAAAATAAATGGGGTGTTTCCACCCAGTGTTGAGTTGATCCCCCACCCAGTTTTGACTTTGGCCCAGACTACTGCTGATGGCAGTATGTAGCTCCTGACCACCTCCCCCAGGAGGAATGTGACCCTCCTCCAAAAAGTTCCTTTTCTGAGTCAAGACCTTTGAATAAAATCCAATTTAGGCTGCACATTGTGCAGTGGGTGCCCTTCTGCTGCTCACTCATGGATCCACAGTGTCAACAGAGCATGCTTCTTGAGTCTGCCAGTCAATCCTGTTGCATCCCATGCTTTTTTTCCCCAGCGGCATTTTTACTGGCTCTGCAGTGTGCGTTTATTCCCTGGCAGCCATTCGGGCTGCTTTCAATGGTCCATTTGCACATAAGGAAGGCTTGGACTACCAGTGGGTGGCGTACAAAGGACGGGTTCCTTATCCCCGTCCTGGAACGGTATGTATGCAAGGCCTGGAGGTCCCAGTTCATTTTTCTCTGGATGTTGCATATAGACACTTAAACAATGGACCACAGTTAATGCAGCTTGCACTTCTGCCATAATGTGATCTGTGGCTTTACTGAACCATTAACAGCAGTATTAAACTGAGACAAAATGAAGCACTGCACAAGCTCAGAGGCACAGCCCAACATCTTTCAACTTGCCCAGGTATTCTGTGTGGCTGCTCTTGGCTTATGAATAGGTACTCCCTGTGAATCCAGAGCCACATCTACACAAAGGAACAGATGAAGCTGCTTTAACCTGAATCAGACCATTGGTCCATTTAGTTGATATTGCCCACACTGACTGGCAGCAATGACTGTCCTGGGTTTCCAGCAGGATCCATTCCTAGCCCTACCTGCAAATGCTGTGGATTGAACCTGGGCCTTCTGCAGGCACAGCAGGTGCTCTACACATGCCAGTTTCTCAGAGGGCAATTGGATGCCCCTCGTGGTATGAGAAGAGATGTGCAAACTTCTGGAGGCATCTCTCAGCTACCATGTATTGAGGGAAAATCCAGATATTTACAGATGGAGCACACTAGGGAGACAAAGTCTGAGAGCTATGTGCTCCCACAGATCGCAAAAGCTCCAAAGAGGCATCTCTGCCTGCCTGCCTGCTTTCTGGAATGGCCAGCCCTAGATCCTCTGGACATGTTAAAAAAAACCTCAGTCCTCTCACTCAGCAGGAGATGTGTCCAATCCAATAGGTTGCTCTTGCACAGCTTGCCCCTGGGAAGTTGGAGAAACTGAGGCATTCATATCAGGGCAAGGTTAATTTATCACACCGTGGTTTTTCAGGGATGACAGGGCATAAAAACTCATGCCACAAATTGGTAATCTTTACCATACTACACTGATTTGTTAGTGTTGCTGCAAGGAACCGCAAAGGTACTGCTTGTGAAACTTGAATACTGAGTCTTTTTAACCCTATCTTTTTTCAATGTCTTCATTCTCTCCATCAGTGTCCCAGTGAAACATACGACCCTCTCCTTCAGTCAACAAAGGACTTTCCTGATGAAGTGATAAGCTTCATGCGCACCCACCACCTGATGTGGGAGTCTGTCTATCCACTCCATAGGAAACCCATTCTGATGAGAGTCAATGTGCCCTTCCAGATCCGGCATCTGTTGGTGGACAGGGTGGAGACAGAAGCTGGGCATGTTGATGTCCTCTTCCTTGGAACAGGTACGATACCCTTGGCAAAGGTGCCTCCACTCTCTGTGTGCATTTCATGTGTTGATCTGATACTTCCAGCTCAGTGGGCAAAGGGAGCTGAGAGTCCATAGAGCACCTCAGCACTATGGTGGCCTGGAGAAGGAAAACAAGCAGAAGCAGGACATGTCGGCTCTTCCCCAGACAAAATATCCATAGGTGATCTGGCCACATTACACTTCTCTCTTATTCTAGAAATTATTAACAAGGGGCTGTCTGTTCACTAGAAATACTTGGTAATATATGTTTTTTAATGCTCATAAATGAGCATTAAGGGTAAGACAAGAGGAGCTCAGAGGAACCTGAGCCCATGGTACAAGTAAAAAGGATCTGAGCCACCTTTCTCTGGGCAGGTTTAAAATAGTCAAGGCTGAAATCCTAACCATGCTCATCAGACATAAATCTCTTTCTAGTGGGTCTACTTCTGAGCAGAGTTTTAAGAATGGCTTGCCAAACACCTGGAAGGCAGAGTTTTTGCTAATTCTTATTATCTCTGCTGAACGTGTATTAGTACAATTGAATTTGGCCTAGTATTAGAAATATGGTGCTATAATCCAAACAGAAGCCACTTGAAATCTATATAAAGGGTTTCTTGAATCCTCTTTTTCTTAGCCATTTCTCTCCCTGTGGGGGTTACATCCCTTTTTAGAGCTCCATCAGGAGAAAACAACCTGGGAAAAGTAAAGAATCGAAACAGCAGCAACAAAGTTCTGGCTGACTGGTCCACCGCCATCCAATCTAGCTTGACCTGGAGTGCCAACCCATCAGTGTGCATTGTTTCTACATTACCATTTTGTGCCTAAAAGGTTTAATCATATGTTTGTGAGTAAAATTGGAACAAAGAAACAATCCTTCAAATGATTAACTGAGTCATTTTTTCTGCTACAAAAAATAGGTTATCTACAGAAAATGAGAAGATGACAAATTCAAAATAGATAAAAATCAGGTTTCCACAAATTATAGTTTGCCATTTTGGATAGGGATCACGGAAAACATCAGTTCAGTGTGTTGCAGCTATGAAAACAGAATTCAAAACTCTTAGCAAAGATATGAAATATAATAGTTCTATATAAATATCATTCATATGTCCACAGCTTGAGCACAGCAGGGAATTTTTCTGAGTGTTGCATCCCAGGAAAGCTCTACCACAGCTGTAAAAATGTACAGAAAAGGACAACAAAGTTATGGTTATGGAATAACTTCCAGATATGTTGAATGCAAAAAAAAAAAAAAAAGAACTGAGCCACAAAAATGATTATGCAAGCAGTGCTGAGTGCTTGATTGAGAACTCCATGTTCTATAACCTAAATAAGTTGTTGTGGAGAGCATGAACTTTGAGGGAGTCTTCAGTTTCAGATATAAGCCACACCTACATTATGGACTGTATCAGTTATTACAGGGCAAGCCTGCAGACAGATCAAGGGAAGAGCTCAACATGCTCCAGCAGACCCAGAGATCAGTTGTTTCTGCATTTATGTATTTGTCATCCTTTTTCCTGCAAGGAACCCTAGGTGGCTTACATAATCACCCTTTCAATTTTATCCTCCCAGCAGCCCTGTGTAGTAGGTTAGACTGTCATTGACTGGCCCAAGTCATCCGGTGAGTTTCAGGGTTAAATGAATGCCGTATGGTGTAGTGGTTAAAAGTGCGAGACTGGGACTCAGGAGATCTGGGTTCCAGTTGGCTTGTTGTGAGGATAAGATTGAAAGGAGGAGAATTATGTAAGCTACTGTGAGTTCCTTGAAAGGAAAAAGAGGAATATAAATGTAATAAATAAAACAATTAAAATGGGGACTAGAACACAGATCTCTCTAGTCCAGCACCTGAACCACTACACCACACTGGCTCACAATAAAAGCTTTTCTGTTCCTGTACTTCATGTTGGTAGACATGGTGGACTGAACTTGTGCTTGCATTATATTAGGGGTTAAAAGGCAGCGGGTGGGAGAGATCCCCAAAGCTTGCCTTGATTTGCGGTGTCAGGAGAGGGAACGCATATGTAATGACAATGCAAAGTATGGATTGTTGTGGAATGAAACAAGTTTTTCTCTAGGATTGCCCTGCATTTGGCTCCATCCTTCTTGCTTCGGTGCCGACTGGTTTCCCAGTCCCTCTTCAGGAAAAGCTTGCCCACGGCATGATGCCACTGCCATGCTTCCCCACGGGGATGGCGTTCTCAGAGCAATGAGCACCGTAGGCTTGTCTCCCCCATAGTGTTTGGCAGAAAGGCCAAAATGTTCAGTGCCCGAGAGCCTCTTCTCCCATTCGCTGCATCTTCCGCAGGCCTTTTGCAAACCCCAAAGGGGCTTTGGCATGGGTTTCCTCTCACCACCCTTCCATAGATCCCAGCTTTGTGGAACATGTGGGTGATAGTTGTCCCATGGGTGGTTTCTTCCCTCCTGGGTTTGCATCTTTCCAGCTTCTTCGGAGTTGACACTGATCTCTTTGTTGCTTCTTTGACCAGCACCCTCCTTACCGAGTCACTGAGTTTTGATGGAGGACCTTCTCTACACAGAGTCACAGATGAGCCATATTCTCTCCATTTTGTAGTAATGCATTTAAAGGTGCTCTGGGGCATGTTCATAGTTTGGGATTTCTTAACCTAATCCTGATTGTTGTTTCTTCACAATTTCATCCCAAAGATGTTTTGATAGCTCTTTGGCCTTTATGTTGCTGTTTATGTTGCTCTTCAGCCATCTCTGGGTCTGTCCAAAACAGATTGTATTTACTGTGAAGTTATGTGGCACTGGAATTGCACACGTTACATTGCACACAAGTTGAATTGCATTCAACTCAGTATGTGACTTTAGGAGGCAGTGGGTTGCACCAGAGCTTATTTAGGCCTTTGACAGCAAGAGCTAGGAATACTTCTGCAACCCCAAAGTGCCAGTTTTTGTGTACTTTTGTGTATCTTGTCCACATCAATTGGTAACAACAGCAATTAAATCAATTTCAGTTTCAGGTTGTAACACAACAAAATAAGAAAAAGTCAATGAGGACTGAAGACTTTTGCAAGACACTGTATGTGTGAACCAGGATAGTAAAAATTATCTGCAGTCTTTCTACAACATGCTGGTCACAAAGACCTGTCTCATAAGCTCTCCTTATTTACCTTGTGGCAAAATCTGTTTGGCTGGTTGACAGGAGAGACAGGTCTCACAGAAAAGTCCCTTTCCAGTGAAGGGCACTGTCCTGATTCATTCAGGTTGCCCTTGGTAAATCAAGATTTTAAAGAACTGTCTGAGTTAAATTAGTGAGGTACTTTAATGAACTTGGTACTGTCTCAGTGTGATGCTTTGCATCACTTTACTAATTTGTGTTCTATTTTGTTTTCATTTTAGTGAAATTATTACGTAATAGTGTGTGTATTCATGCATGAGTGTATACACTAAACAAAGACAAAGAATATTGCTTTTATTTCAAAGTATTCTGGAAACAAGCCAAACTCTATGGTTTTTATACACAAAAATACCTCAAATGGTGCAGAGGTCCGCACACATTACAGACCCCCACTTTGTTTTTGATCCATTGGCAACCCATCAGTGTTTTGGCATGAGAGAACATTTAGACCAGAGGCAAACTGAAAAGGCAGTGGTACTGTCCCATCTTGTTGGTTCAGTGGATTTGACCATACCCTAAGCAGAAAGAATCAGAAGGTGTAGCATTGCACTCGGGATGTTTTTAAACTTCTGCTGCATTTCCAGAATGACCCAGAGTCAAAGGATTTAGACATATTTATTTATTTTAAAAATGTCTATCCTGTCCTTTGCCCAAGCCTCAGGACGGCTTACAAAAAATCAATGAATGATATAAAACACAATTAAAACATCCAGTACTAACAATTTTACAAACAATGATAGCAATTCAAAAATAAAGAAAGGAAGAAGAAAGAAAAAGAAAATGTGACTGTGTAAAATATTATTGGTTTTGTTAAAATTATTAATTTAGTTTTTTAAATGATGGGTAAATAAAAGGGTTTTAGCAGGCTTCTCTTTAATACTGTAAATGACTGACACTTGAATCATTCAGGGGTGGTTTACTGGGCTTTGTGACAATCGGCTTTGACAAAATGTGATAGTTACACTCAGTGCTTTTTTTGTAAGAAAAATGGTGCCGGAACTCATGAAATTTTTTACCTTTCACACGTAATCAATCACTGTACACACACCATACACGTCAGTTGTGTAATGAAACATAATGGTCGCCGCATGCAGTAAGCACTCAGCACACGACCACATGACCAGTCACAAGCCGAGCAGCGCCACAAGCTGAGCAGCACCATCACAACCAGAGCAGACAAAGTATGCATGCATCGGATTTGACACACAAGCAGCCCGCATGCACCATTTTAATGATTTTGCTGCCAACCTGCTATGCTCAACAGGGCGATTCGAATCAACGTGGACCAAACATCAAATTTTCAAAAGTTACTTTTAAAACGTGGAAAATCTGTTGAAAAAAGGTGCCGGAACTCTGTTCCGGTACGTTCTATGACAAAAAAGCACTGGTTGCACTCTTAGGAAGGCTTTGCAGCAGAAGCTAATGGAGTTACTCTGCCCTGACATGTCCTTCCCTTCTGCTCCCCACAGATGAAGGCAAACTGCTGAAGGTGGGGATTGCTGGCGTCGGAGGCCAGGACCCGCAGGAGATTAGTCTGGAAGAGATCGGTGTTGCAAAGGTACTATGGAGGTCTGCTACACTCTTACAGTCTTCGAGGACACGGTTTTGTCTAGAAAGACACCAGCTCTAAGCACCTGTTGCTGTGCTTGTTGTCACTGCTGTTAAGTTGCATTTCATCCTGCTGTTTTTCCTCTTGTGAGGAACCCAAGGCAGCTTCCATAGCTCCATTTTATCCTCCAACAACCCTGGGAGGTAGGGTCAGGCTGAGAATGAGTCACTGGCCCAAGTTTCCCAGGGAGCTTCATGGCTGAGTGGGGGCTAGAACCCGGATCACCTGGTCTCCAGTCCAGCATTTGCACCACTGCACCGCTTGGCTCTCTTAAAGGCACACTGGTGCTGACTGGAAAGGCAAGCTTTATATTTTCCAGTGAGGCAGGGGAGGGTTGCAGCATCCAAGGGTCAGGCAAGCAGCACCAGCAACTCCTCCAGTAGTAAACTTGATGGAGAACAGGCACAGGGAACTTTTGGTGCACAGACCAGATCCAGCCTGCAGAGCCTTCCCATTTGACCTGCCAGCCCCTCCTCCTGGTCTGTTTTCCTGTTCTGCAGATTGGAAAACAGCCTTGCCATGCTCCAAGGGGAGTGGGGGGAATCACTTTCTTGCTAAACAGTACGCAAAGCCAGCAAACTGCCCTTGGAGGAAAGAGAGCTCTCCTGCGTCGTGGACAGCTTGCTGCCTTTCTGTTCTGTGCAGCATTTCATCACAGAACAGAACAGAATGGACAGGCAGTCACTGGCGACCGATCCCTATGGCAGGCAGCGATCTCTGTTTGTGTCTGGCTCAACAGTAGGGCTGCATCCCAGCAGTGTGGGTGGCCTCACCCGCTGGTGCCAGGCAGCCCCCAGTGTGCTTGACCTGGCACAGATCTGGCCCTCAGTTCTCAGGGCCGACAACCACATCTCAGAGTCTTCCTCTAAAAGCCAGCTAGCAGACTGTCCCTAAGCATGGGCATTACCTTTAGCAATGGCCGAAGCTAAAGCATCACCCATGAGCCAGAACCAAATGTCATCCCACTTGTACTTTTGCAAAAGAAAGAAAGAAAGAGGCTGCTACACACTAATAAAGGGACTGCAGGTGGTGCAGTGGTTTAAACCGCTGTGCTGCTGGGCTGGTTGATCGAAAGGTCGCCGGTTCAAATCTACACAACGGGGTGAGCTCCCGTTGCTCCGTCCCAGCTCCTGCCAACCTTGCAGTTCGAAAGCATGCAAACGCAAGTAGATAAAAAGGTACCACTTCAGTGGGCAGGTAAGTGCGTTCCATGCACCTCGGTGTTTAGTCATGCTGGCCACATGACCTCGGAGACTGTCTGCGGACAAACGCTGGCTCCCTTGGCTAGGAAACGGAGATGAGCACCACCCCCTAGAGTCAGGCATGACTGGACTTAATGTCAAGGGGAAACCTTTACCTTTACACACTAATAAACAAGGATGATATAGACAAGACTGTCACCACACAGCTACGAGGGATGTGGAAGCCTGGTCTAGCTTCTCTCTCCCTGAGACATCTTGGTACTGGCAAAGTGACCAATATGCTTCTAACGATGACCTGCTCCTAGAGCAGCCCTTCAAGAGTGAGCGTGTCACTGGGTGTGCTCAGGCACCTGCTGCGGACACCTCACTCTGGCAGGGGCCCACCAGCACGAGCGCCTGGGTTTGTGCCTCCTCTCTTGAGGGAAGCCCACAGGCTGGGTGGCCATTGCTCCAGCTGAGACAGCCGTGGCCGGGAGCAGGAGCAGCAGGAGGTGCCATGGCCTGCCTGTTCATGGGCTCTCCATCTGCCAGGCCAGCAAGTGGCAGCAATTGTGAGAGAGGGCGGAGAGCCATGGCAGGGGGTGATCATGGCAGCAAGATGCGACTGCAGTGAGGGAGGGGGCCCACTGAGGATGCCCTGCTGAAGGACTCCCCCAGCCTCCGAAGCCAGGGCTGACGGTCATACGGGGGAGCGGGCTGGGCGCGTGGGCACACCAGGCTACAACTGAGGCCCACCCTTGGGGATGCACACACTGAATTTGGGCTGGCATGTGGCAGGGTCTGTTTACATGTCTGCTGCTCTCTGTTTCTTGCAGAGACCTTCAGCCATCTTAGACCTGCAGCTTTCTCAAAAGAGGGTAAGTCTCTTTTTGCCAGTCTATCAGTCCCTACCTCTAGAATCATTACTTCTGAACAGTGTCCTGGCAGACATTGGCTATGGGTTATCTTTATCCCAATAAAAAGTTTACGCCCCTGAACTCATGGGAAGCTGCCTGCCTTGATGACCGAACAAAAAAAGAAGCAAACACTGATGTCCTTTGCTGTTCTTGGTTTCTGTGAGCAGCAGGAAGTCTTCGTGAGCAGCGGCACTGGCGTACTGCAGCTCTCCCTGTTCCGTTGTGAGCTTTATGGCAAAGCCTGTGCCGACTGCTGCCTTGCTAGGGATCCCCACTGCACCTGGGATGGCAAGTCCTGCAGGCCCTTCCTGCTCACTAAGAAAAGGTGAGACCTTTCCCTTTCCCTCTTCCCCTTTGCAAATGACCCCTTTGATCTTAAACACGCTTTGATACCCTTGATGTGCGGGGCAGGATGCAACCCACGCGTGAACAACTGCACTGGATGTGTGTGCTAGACTGCCAGTCTAGAGTTCTGCTTGTCCATAGCACCAAGTATAAACATGCTAAACTGGCTTGTCTATGCATTTCAACCTTGCCTACTCCAACCAGCTTCTCACTTCAATAAGAGCACCCACCCTCGCATCCATTGCATTTTTCTCCACAAGCATCTTTTCTGGGGATCAGCCCCAGCCTCTTCCTCACTGATGCATCTGCTGGCCCTGGAGAAAGGTAAAAGGCTTGGCACTGGCTCTTACCATTGCTTATGCTCCTATGAAGCCCAGCATGTCTCTCTGTTATAAAATTATGGGCCTATTGCAGAGAAGAGGCTGGGGAGAAGAATGGTCCTCGTGCAAGGTGAGGCATACATCATTTCTGGCTAGTAGAAGGAATAGAAAAGTTGCGCTACTTTCAGTGCAAAGCAAAAGCAGCAACGGAAATGAGCATGTTGGAACTGAGGCGTGGGGTGCCCCACCACCTACTCCAGCTTCTTTCTGAGGGTGCTGTCCTGGCACCGACACACAGCCCTTGCCCACATTGCCTGTGCCCCCCGTGGCTTGGCCCACCAGCCTCCTCACGAGCACTGAGGAGCATGCTGGAGCACTTCCAAAGCAGCAATCTTGCTAAGCAGCTGCACCGGCTGTCTTCTTTGCAGGCAAGCTCAGTGCCACAATATACCGAGGGCCAACCCGATCCGTCAGTGCCAGGATGCTGCAAAAGGTGAGTCAAGGGGCACTCAGTGGGCACCCAGGGAGCTGCTTCGGCTGCATCCTGTAGTCAGAAGAGGTGGAGAAATTTCCCAAGGCAGCTTAACCTGGCCCTTTGCTCCAAAAAGCCTTTGGCATACCTCACAGTCATCTTTGCTAGGAGCTTATCACTTGCTGCTCCTTGGGAGAGTAACACGCAGAGCAGTTGCCTAAATGAAGAAGGGGTAAACAGAGAGTGCAGGAGGGCCACTGCTGGGACATTCATCTTGTCTAAAGTGCACATCGAATTTCCACTGAGGGTTGCAGCTGCCAAGGGGGATTTGTTACTAATCCAGCCACAGCTGTACAAAAGCCAGATACACTGAGGTGCTCACCTGAGTTTCCATAAACACTGTCAGCCAAGGATTTAGTCACAGATGTTAATGTAAACTCAACTTTAGTTCTGGTTTGTGCAGACTCCTTCAGATGGGATTGTGTTTGTTTACAAGGTGCCCTTACTCTGCACCTATACAGTGGCTCCTTGGATCCAAGCTTGCTGGGTGTAAAATAGCTGAGTTATATATACAGGTATCACTGCAGACTTCCATTGCGGTGATTCCCACTTCAGCTTAGCTAATGCTGCACTCTAAATTGCTTACCTTCAAAAACTACAGAAACCCCCTTTTCCTCTATGCTGTTTGCTCTCAGAAGGGAAAGAAGCATCTCTAAACCTGCACATACCACAACTTCTGAGTTTTGTTTTGTTCAGATCTCTCTGATGATGGTGTAGTGATTACAATTAATAATTCAAATGCAATTTAAAATGGTATCTTGTGTCTGAAAAACTGACACACCCGGTATTGTGTTGGGATTCCTTTACCCTGCTGTCTTTGGCAGCTTTAAATTTTGTGTGAAAACATGAAATAGCATCATGGTCAATGAAGGCCACGTGCAGCCATGAGCAATGGCTCATGTCCAAAAGCCCCGGCTGAAAATGGAAGGAACCCAGTTCCTCTCACCCAAGCCGCAGCATTCCCTGCAGCTTCCAAGGGTCTTCCAGCCCTCTTTGGAGGCTGCAACAGCCCCTTTCTGTGAGCTGAACTCTGCTGTGGCCTTAGGATCCAAGCCAATGAATGTTAATCCACTCGGAGAAGCTGCAGCACATGCAGGCGGGTTGTTGATGCAGGTGTCTAAACTCAGGAAAGTACATGCCTGCTCCACTAAGTGCAGGAAGGTAGTTCACAGCTGCTGCCTCATAACCTGCTCACCTCAGAGGCCTGGGGATAATTAGTCAACTCTTTGAAATGCTAAGAAGGGTCTTCTTGGGCCCTATAGGAAAGCATTTGAGGATTACCACGGCTGAACATTTGAATCCTGCCTGAACTTCCAGTGCCAGTCTTAGGGAGTGGAAAGACTTATTGCATTCTCTACAAAAACCAGCAGCCCATTTGGCTGGAGAAAATAGAATCAGTAGTTGGAGAACACCCTCCTTCCCCAGCCAGAGCTCTGTCTGCATGGCTGAAGTAGCCTTGACACAGCACTGGGGCTGATGGGCCTGGTCATCCTGGTGGCTCTTTTGAAGCCAGTTGACAATCCTGAGACTGGGTTCACAGAACATGGTAAGCCACTGGGGCTAGTTACCCAGACTCAGCAGACTTAATAGATTTATATCCTGCTTTTTTCTTACGACAAACTCAAAATGGCTTACATCCTTCCCCTCCTCCTGCTCTCAACTTAGCCTAGCAACAAGCCTGGGGGGTAAGCTGGGCAGAGAGTCTGTGAGTGGCCCAAAGTCACCCAGCTGGCTCCATGGCTGAGCAGGGGCTGGAACCCAGGTCTCCTGAGTCCCAGTCAGTCCTGCACTCTCAACTACTACACCGTGCTGGCTCTCCTTCCTGCAGGGTAGCTTGTAGTAGGGTGTCTATCCCCACACCCTTGCTGCATCATCTGATCATGGAGTGGCATCGGGGGCAGCTGCCAAAGGCAACTTCCTAAAGCTGCTGCAAGCTATTTCAGTCATGCCACAGCTGGTCATTGTTATTTTTATGAGATTGTGAAAGATACCCATTCTTGGCCTCCCAAGGAGTCCCACTGGTACCTTGGAGGGGCGCCTGTGGTCACCCTTCTTCCTAAACAAATATTTTACTTCAATTATGTATGCTGCCCGCAGCCAATCAACTGTTCTGCCAGCATACAAGTCTATGATCCTCCAAACAGTTTTCAAGAACAGTTGTCTCATTTTTTATGCAAGCCATCTAGAGATCATGATTGGATATAAGATGGGAGATACATGTTTCAAATAAGTAAAAATAAATATACCCCTATGACTTATAAATCAGAGAGGTGAACTCATAAACTGCAGATGGAGGAAGGAAAGCCAGCTAGACTGATCAGGCTCCCGCACCCTGAGCTCCTTTAGCCACAAGTCCCTGCTGAGAGAAGCCTGCAGTAGCTGATTCCTCAGACTCCTCCCACTCCGAAGGGAGGCACCGGACTGGGGGCTAATTCAGCCTCGGAGTTCACCCTGACCGCGTTGTCAAGCTGGCTCTAAGCCTCACAATTGTAGTTTAAAAAGAAAGATACCTTACTTCTTTTCAGTCTTGTAAACTAGGAATAGACTTCAGCAGAATTTAGATTTGCTTATCTTTCATTTATTGAATATTAATAACACAGTAAAACTTCAGTGGAGAATTCTTCTGTACATTGTTTTCATTTTGTATGTGCAGTGCTATGCAGTTACAATATTTCATTTTTGAAATAGTCCTGTTTTATTGTTTTTTCTGTTTGAAAAAAACCCACCTACTTCTGTGCCTAGAGAAAAATAAGCATAGTAAATGAATATATTGAAAAATGGGGGACTTTTAACTTGGATTACCCTATTATAGCATAGCCCTCTTTTTATAGCTCTGAAATATTATAATTGTACACTACTTATATGGACCCAGAATTATACAAGGAGAAGAAAGTACTCACACGTAACTTTTCCAGCAAAAGTTCATAAGAGCACTGGGCAGGGTAGCAAGCCACCATGATACAGAGCCCAATTTCTATCCACCCCGCTTAGTATTGCCTATACTGCCTGTTCGCTGCTCGCTGGTGTTTCAGAGGCATCTCTTCCAGCCTCCCCTTGTCTCTGTATCCCTTCAAATCACTCACAAAGCTGCAGGAGCCAGATTATGGCCTGGCAGATCTGGAGGCCTCCTTGTGACATCCAATTGAAAACCTGCTGAATGGTTTGATTCCATGTAGGAGTTGTCCAAAGTGGAATGCCAGCCACCCCCTAATCCAATCAGCTTCACTGCTATGGCTCTTACATTTGAGCAGGAGTGTCATCCCTTTGGTCACATACTCTTGTTTATGTTCTCTTCATGCAGAAATTCCTGTGGCTGATGAAAAGGTGGTATTTGGTGTACAGAACAACTCGACATTTCTGGAGTGCCTTCCACATTCTCCCCAGACCTCAGTTCATTGGCTCGTGCAGCACAGCAGTTCAGCAGCCCTGGAAGAGGTACTGCAAAAAAAACTGAGGAGCGGGGTGGCTTCCTTGGACCTGGGGAGCAAGAGGTTACTTAAGTGTGTGTTGCTGTGTGAAGGGGAAAATAGCTGTGTGTGTGTGTGTCAGATGAGAAGCATGAACCTGCACAGCAGGTTGATAGTGCAAGCCCCTCCACTTTTCCTCTGCGTAGGACCACCTACTATTCAGTTGCTTAGTGCCACGTGTCCCTTGCAGATTGAGAGCACTGGCCGTTTTGTGGTCCTACAGCAAGGCCTGCTGATTAGTCAGCTGACACAGGAGGATGCCGGGATCTACCAGTGCCAAGGAATGGAGCACTCCTTCTCGCAAACCCTCGCCTACTACAACTTGCACATCATCAGGCACCAGGCCATGGAAGCATTCGCCTCTACGCTTAGGCAGGGCACAGAAGCAGCCGGAGGCCCCCACAGCACCATCTCGATGTCAGAGCTGCAGCGGCATCACAAAGGCTATTCGTGGGCATTGGGCGCGCCTGGAACCAGCCTGGACGAGCTTTGCAGCACTCTCGAGCAAAGGAAAAGACGGAGGCAAAAGAACTGGAACCCCAAGTGGCAGCTGCATCCCTCAGGAAGCAAGAAAGGCCGCGTGCGTCGGCAGCCTGAGCCTCTGTGAGAGGCAGTGCTGGCATGATCCGTGCTGCAGACGGGCTCCAGGAGGCAGGTAGGGCTAGCTAGGCAGACACTCGGGGCCCCGTCAGCAGCTCAGGCCTATCTTGACAAGGAGGCAGAACCGGGGCCTGCAGGTTCTGTCCATTACCAAGGTCAGGCAAGTCTGGTCTGTCCTTCAAGATGAAATGCTAATTGCTACCTCCTTCCTCACTGAGTGGCTGAGGGAAGCATATGCAGTACTACCAAAGTGCACGGAGAGCCAAATGTAGCTTCCCAGGCCTTTTCTCAAGCATTGGTGAGGCAGGCAGATGAGTTTGGTTTGACTATTGGGAGGACCGCTCCAAGAAGAGAGAGCTTTAAGCTCTTTATACATCATGGAACAAATGTTTGTACTCCTCTTTACTTTGATTTCATAGTAAACAATGACCATTAAATATCATTGTGATACCAGTTTCTGAGTGCCCTTTTCATAGATCTACCATGTGCAAGATGGAATCAATTATTCTAAATTGGAAGGGGTGATGGTCTCCTCTATGACAGAATATGACTTGTAAGAGAGGGGCTGATTTTGTTCCTAAGTGTTTATGACAACCTCATCTGGGTTTCCCGATATGCATAGAGCAGGAAGATGTGGCCAGTACCAAGTCACTAATGTGCATGTATGATAGAGGTATCAGGTAGTTTTTAAGTGTTGAAGGTATACACCTAAAAGCATAAGTCTGTGAAACAGCCTTCAGTTTGACAGTAGGCTTATCAGCCTAGGTAACCAGTTGCACTAAAGCTCCTAGCATTAACTTTTTAGCATCCTGCCCTTGTCTCCCTTTCCTCCACTTATAGGAAAGGAAAATGGAAAACTTCCTGCCTTTGAGTACTAGCTCTGCCAATTTAAAAATGGATCATGCTGGGCTTAGGAGGCCCAGCAGTCACTGAGACAAACCCTGAGTTCATGCATGCATTGATTAGAACTAACGTGCCAGACCATTCTGTCTGCACATACAGCCACAAAAGAGGAGTTGCATTTTTGGCACTTCCATGGTGGCAAATTTAAGCTACCTCCCTTCCATATTTGCTTTAGTATTTTATTCAAAGATTTTTAGTAAGAGCCATACACTGTAAGCTTGGCAGATAATTACCACACAGCTTACATTCAACATAACTAATGTTCTGAATGGTGCTTAAGGAGGACTCTCTCATCTGAAATGAAGCCAAGCTGAATTACTTCTGTAGAAAAGGAGGATGGGTTTAGGTCTGCCTGAAAAGAACTGAGATGCCATCTAACTTCATCCTACTCAACTTTTAGCATTACAGTGGTACCTTGGCTCACGAACTTAATCGGTTCCAGGACTCTGGTCGTGACCCAAATTGGTCATGAGCCAAGTTAAATTTCCCCATAAGGTTCAATGTAAACAAGGTTAATCCATTCTGTAACCATTTTTTAAATCAGAAAAATGTGAAGCAAAGTGACAACAACAAAGATCGTGGCCATCTTCCCCCCCACACACACCAAGAACAAGCACGGCCATCTCCCCACGCCCCCAGCACAACCGAGATTGCACCCGTCATCCCTGCACACACCCATCATCCCGGCGCACTGGGGGGTGGGGGGGAGAGATGGGAGAGATCACGGGCGCACTGGGGGAGGGAGAGATGGGCGCAAATGGTGCGCTGGGAGTGGGGAGATGGCCGCGATCGCAGTTCCGTTCGTGCAGGGAAGG